TCCCATCAGCACACAAACTGTGTGTCCACCTGCAACCTGAGCTGTGTTCTCTCGATTGCCGTCGATGGGCGAATCGATACTACGCAGGCGTCTACCAATTTGATCTCGATCGGCGGACTCAGCTGCAGTTCCTTGAACCCTTCTGCTTTTTAGTCGTCCCGACGTGATTTGTTTACGCAGTTGCCTCGTCAGTAGTGTCAGCGGTGAGCAATTATCTGTGCGACATCACACGGACCAGTAGTGACAATGGTCAGGATCCAATGCAAGCAAAACCTCTGACCTTCCTAAATTTCTCGGAAATTGCGCCTAGCCCTACACTCCTCGGGCCTCGACACGGGCAAGTTACGGTTCATCGTCCCGACGAGCCCTCACCTATTACGATCGAGACTCCAGCACTCATGGTTTCGACGTCTCGTGGAGTGATACCTCATCTCTCCAGAGACAATGTGAGGCTCACACAAGCCGTGCGCTGGATCCATGTGCCTTTTGAATCATTGTAAGAGCCTCCACATTCTTGTCGTTGCCAAGTGGTCGCGATCTGCGGCGGCGGCGCGTTTTTCGTTTCCCCCCTTACGAATGTCTCGACTTTGTAGCCTGGAGCATACGCCGCCCGTGCCGACCTTACAGTCAGGGACACATCCGCTTCACCGGTTTCTAGGATACGTGCCCTCACAGCACGCGTTGTCGATGTCTGTAAGGGATCCTTTTGATGGTCGCGATATGCCTCCAAATGGAAAAGATTTCATATCCGCGTATTGTATCAGAGGTGTCCGCAAGGTCGGATATTTTACTTCTCCCATTTACAAAATTCTTTAATAGAGTATATAGGTAACTACGCACGCGTGGATGTCATGTGTTTCGGCTTGCAATCCCGATGTGGTGACGGCTCTCTCGGACACCCCATTTACCAAACTACCTCATTCGCAAAAACGCCTGACGAAAAGCATCGATAGATCGGCTGCTTGGCTGGCAGAGATCCTCAAAAATCATCCACAACACATAAATGCGTCGTCAATCTCTCATGATGAAAGCCGTACGGAGCCATATCGTAGCCAAGTCTTGGTTCATATGGCTGGAGGGACAAGTGTACAGGCGCGTCGTGCTTTTTCACAGACCTTGATGGAAGACCTCGAGAGCAGTGATTCAGAGCAGCTGAAGCCCCTCCGTAAGCTGAACGATGGCGTCGCTGGCTATGTCTTCGACCTAGTACCTCTTCGAGCCACTCGCGTTGTGCCGATGAAAGATACATCTGAGGTACTGTCCGACCAGGCACACGGAGCTCTCAATTCCATCATGCCTAGTCCCGATGACCATAGCCATGCCGACGACACTGCCCGGTTGACCACCCTACTCCAAGCTTCCCTCGACTGTCTCTCCCCAAACACACTTCGGATCGTCAATTCAGCTAGGTCCCCTCACGAGATCTTGCGCCTGATACGTGATGTTGGGATTGACGTATTCGATGCTCACTGGGCGCAACGCGCTGCGGACATCGGCATTGTCCTAGACTTTCGCTTTCCGGTGCCGGAGAACCCGTCTGTTGCTTCGACAAACTGTCCAGGGCCTCGAACTCGGCATAACGGCAAATTGGACTTGGGGCATAACTTGTACGACGCACAATATGCGCATGATCACTCACGACTCGCGTCCAGCTTTCTCGATGCGTTCTCTCACCAGGGGGGATTTGTCAACAATGAAATTTCCGGAGTTAGGGTATGCCCGTGTGCAGCCTGTTCTCCTGCGCGACCAGCAGACCATCTGCGACATAGTTCTGTGGATCGTCTGTCATTCCCCATTGAACCCGAGAATTCAAAAACAAATTTAGTACAGCCGCCTCTCAAGCGATCATATCTCCACCATCTTCTGCATACCCATGAAATGTCAGCACACTCTCTGCTGGTGATGCATAATCTCTCCGTGTTGGACGCGTTCTTCGATGGGGTGCGGAAGGTCATCGCCGATGTCCATAGGGATTATGAACAAGAAGTAGAGAGGTTCTTGAATATGTACGACGAAGACATGACTGTGTGTGACGAGGCGAAACTGTTATGGGCCCAGGTCGAGCGTGCAAGGGGGAAAGGGCGGCTTACTAGAGAGAAAATCAAACAAGCTGAATCTAGCCTTGGCACGTCGGTGGAATTATAGATGAGCAAGCATTTTGTGTAAATTACCAGTGACCGTCTTCTCCTTCTCACACAGTTTGGGTTCATAAGTATTATGTACCTTGATTATTGTGCTTGAGTACAGCCGATATAATCTGCGTGAGGCGGAGTATCCGAGAACTTGTTTCAAAGCTAGAAGTGCCGTTGTATAGTGCTTTCAGTAGACTCGCAGAAGGCTCAAGGATGTGTTGGCAGCATGAGTCGGTAGTTGTTGCAGGCGGTCGGAGATTGTACAGAGTGTCACCAGGTATGGGTAGAAGGTAAAGGACATCGTCCGTACTTTGAATCGCATGCAATTAATGCATTCGACGGTAGCAAGACGTGACTAGTAACTCTACTGGCCCGTACGCAAATTCTACAACGAGCGCTTAGCTGATCATAATGCTGTATGCGTTAGCGCCAGACGCATAGGAACCGATCGCGCTGAGCGCGTTGCGTTCGGCGTACGACTGCGCTGGTCCTCGACCTCTAGCTTGCCCTTATTCTTTTTCTTGGATAGGCGTTGGATTTTTTGAGGCTCTGCAGTGACTGTGGTGCACCAAACAAATCAATTGGAATACCCTCGGGTCTGTTGGTAGTCGCCGATCTACGTGACGACTTGGACGCCTACTGCAGCCCTGTTGCAACGTGTTGAGGACCTTACAGCTCGCTTTACACATTACGTTTTCTTTTCACTTCTGAGCTCGCTATATCGAGATGATGCCCCCAAAAGATATGCTGGTACGTCAATCGTTTGTCATTCTATAGGAGGTTCAAGGTCGCCGATCAATGGGGGCAGTGGGAGAGTGGCCACGACGAGTCAGTTGAGGTTAATCAACGCGCTCTCATTGACAAAGTGCTCGCGCGGTATTCGGGGGAGTTCACGGGTATGCGATGTCTGTTCATACAGCTGTGCAGGAACTGAATGAATATCATCAGTTTTCCGTGAGCTTCTGCAGAACTCGGACGATGCAAGCGCTAAGTCCGTCGAAATACATTTCGAGACCAAAGACTTCCTGGACAAGCGGGGCAACAACGAGGAAGCATATAATGCTGAAAGTTCCAATGAGAAGAAACATGAATTAGATCAGAAGGCAGCGCTAGTGAGACTCTAGTCCTTGTTCAAAGTGTACATGATCGCTGAATGCCGCTTGAGGTGCATCAATGGACATTCAGGAACGATGGCATGAGCTTTAGAGACGAGGACTGGAATCGTTTGAAGAAGATCGGTGCGTTTTCTTGTGCGAAGAAGATCACTCTCTGATAGTGTTATCCCACAGCCGAGGGAAACCCAGATGAGGAGAAGATTGGGGCCTTCGGTGTTGGTCAGTACTTAATGACTTTACAGTGCGGGGATGCTTTGACTTACGTTCATCTAGGCTTTTATAGCTTGTTCTCCGTTACAGAGGAACCATTTGTCACCTCAGGAGGTGCCAATCCCTGTATTCTATCAATGTGTGCTCCTGCTCAATCGACGCTCGTTAGGACAATGGATGGGTTTCTATTGGAAGGACAAGAAGGATCAGGTGAGATAACCGTGAGACGCGTAGAGGAAACTTCCAACATCTTGTTCTATACAGCTTTTTGCTCGTCGAGGGAAGCTTCCATCCGCAGATACCGATGTTTGGACGACCTTTGAAATGTCATTGAGGGAGCCCGCTCCGATACCCCGTGCATTTGATCTTACGCGGTTCCTTGCTTCTTCCCTCACATTTATGACACATCTACGCGAAGTCAGCGTTTTCCTTGACGATAGACGCATCTCCCGCCTGAATAAGAACGCTGGGTCTCCAAATTCTGTCGGCATTCCTCAAGGACTTAAGAACCTGAGCCTCAGAGGTATTATGCAAGTAAAAGATATACAGACTACCCGTGAGTCCATCCTTGCTGTGCGACGCTGAACTGCTCCAGACAATTTTTGTTTAGCATTATCTATCAAGACCGAGCTAATCCGATGGGTGTACATGAGCGGCAGCGAGAGAAAATCCACCGTAGTAGTATCCAAGCCGACACCGGCAGTTGGTTCAGGGAGTTTCTTTTCTTCACTATTTGCTTCGCTTTCTGGCACAAGCACTCCTCAGCGGCCTGTTACACCTCTGCAGCCAGTCAGCGCAAACGATGCTGATTCAACTGAGATCATTGAGTCAAGCGTAACTCTATCAGTGTTTACAGCTGAAGTTATGGTAAAAATCGACCAAAAGTTACGAAGAGAGCTTAATCGTGCCACAAAGAAGAATCCACCTACCAGCATGAGATTAGAGTTGATATACGTGAGCCTGTTATGATACTTGTTGTAGCATCATTCATGAACCCTGTCCTTACAGACGGGTAAGGATGAATATGATGCGAGTATCGAAGAGGACAAGAAGCAGCCAGAGATGACTGGGAGCGTTTTTCAAGGCCTTCGTGCTGATATAGAAGGGTATGGCGTATCAAGTCACTATTATATTCGTTGTCACTATCTTTATCCTTAGCGTGGGCGCGGCAAAGATCTTCATCGTAAGTGTCTCAAGTCGATCTCTCGATCTGGTTTAACAAACGTACGTGCCATTGTGCAGGGCCATGCCACTGGTCAAACCACCGGAATTGCGGGTCACATAGCGGCACGATTCATTCCAACAGTTGAACGAGAGTCTATCGATTTGATGTAAGTAGGGGTCGACCATTGAACAAACGTTGCGACTGAAATTTCCTCTTGTAGGGACCGCACCGTCGCAGGTATGATGAATTTTCTCTAATATGCGCAATGTTTGAAGCGTTCTTTCGATAGTTTGGAACGAGGAGCTACTCTACGTTGGAGGGTTTTTGGCTCGCGCGGCGTACGAACTCGAGATGGCTAACTTACGCCGATTATGGAATGGTGCAGCTGATTCAGAATCACTGAGAGTTCCCAGTGACACCGTACAAGCCTGGTTGCGCGGCCGAGGATTGCATCTGTTGAAATTTTTCACATTCCATCACTCTACGCCATCTTCTCTCGTCTCTACAAAACTGGAGGCCGCTTTCTTTGCTTCCGCACCCAACCAGCCGTTTCCGATCATCTCATCCACTGGCATCCGGAATGTAGTAGATGTCCGTATCCAAGACCAAGTTTTCTCGGAATTTTTGAAAGAGCTGCCTACATTACCTGAAGATGTCGTGAACGGTGCACCCAAGATGATCAGCTCCCTGCGTTCACGGGGAATGATCAAGGAGATCGAGTTCATGGACGTGCTTCATGAATTGCGGGCGAGACCGCTATCGGAAACAGAGATAGTGGCTTGTTTCAAGTGGTGGCTCACAATGCAGAGCCAGAGTGTCCCGCAAAACCTCGTACAGATCCGGTCTGAGCTACTAAATGCAGCCGTACTGATCCTAGGAGACCGGGACGCTGACGATGCAAAGATAGTGCCTATGTCTGCTATCCAAACACTCCTGAACGTCCGCGGGATGCCAGGAGCTATAATCCCCACTGACGGCCCACTACCACCTCATCTACTCCCGGTCAGTATCAGCAAGCAGTTTGACCACAGCAAATTGGCGGCAGCATTTCCTTGGCGAGAGCTAACCCTTTTGGATTGGTTGCGATACGTCACAGCCCCCACTGTATCAGCACTAGGGGTTGACTACGATTTCACGAGCTCACCACAATGGGCGGAGCGAGTACTGGAAGTAGTCTCTCGGGCATGGCAGCAACTTCCGAGAAGTACTCAACAAGAAGTCGCTGCCCTCTTTCAAGGAAAAGTGTGTGTGCCTACTTCGGCAGGTATGAGGATGCCCGATGAATCCTATTTTGCGAGTGCCCACATCTTCCGCGATCTGCCCATGGTTCTGTTCCCTTCCGGAAATCAAATCAAGGGCCCCATGGAGAAGGTCCTAGTCGCCATCGGGGTTCGACAGCATGTTGAACTCCAGATCGTTTTCAACAGGTAAGGCTCTGGTAATTCTTATCCGGTTATCCTCTAATACATGCACATTCCAGGATGATTAAAACTGGTGACTGGACAATTGCTGAATTAATCAAATATCTAGTCGCTGTGCAGGCCACGCTATCATCTGCAGAAGTAGATCGTCTTCGTATGACTGCTGCGTTTCCCAAAGAGAGTAATCTTGATAACAACGAGAAATCTGCTCGGTTCAAGGCCAGTGAGCTTTACGAGCCAATAGACACACTTCGAAAGTTGGGCCTTCCAATCATCAGCTGGGGTGATCATCCGAAGTGGCGAAGTAACTCTGAAGAAGGTCAGTGGTGGTTATGCATGCTTTAGGACTTACTGACTATTCTCGAGCAGCTAAGTTCCTTTACAGTCTAGGATTGCGCCGTTATCCCCCTCTGCCCATCATCTTGAATTTGGCTTCCAATCCAGACGAAAGTGTACGATCACTTGCGTTGAAGTATTTTTTGGACAACTTTGCCACTAAGTATTCTGACTATGATCCCACCGCATTCGTTGACTTGTCATTTGTACCTGCTATTAAAAATGGATCGAGCCACATGGCAAAGCCGTCCGAGGTCAGCATTTACACAGAACTAGTTTTCTCCCTTAAAATTGACAGTGGCTGCAGGTGTTTTCAAATGGCTCTTGGGCCTCACTCGGATTCCCAGTTGTGGATCCGAGTCTTCAGATGGATGCATCGTCCAAATTAAAGATCCGTGAACATCCTCCAGGAGCTGCTTTAGTCAATCTCTTGAAGCAATCTCCTCCACATGCAGAAGCTGATGCCAGGACTTGGTTCGGTATATTAGCGACTCGCGTATCAGGTACGTGATTCACGTAGTGTGCCAAAGTGAGTGTCCCAGTGATGAATGAGATATAGACTTCAGTAAGGCCCAGCTTGAGGTATTATCACGACTACCATTCGTCCCAGTCAAGACTCCTGGAAGCGATGCGGCGATCCGCATGTTGTCTCCCAATCAATGCTACTTTTCTGGAGATTCCAACCTTCAGTTCCACTCTAGGCTTTTTGTGTTCGTGGATTTCGGTCTCCAAGCAAATCAGTTCCTCAGCGCATGCGGGACGAAACACGAGCCTTCAGTGGAGGAGATTACGAAGATTATGCTGGAAAATCCTCGGCATTTTTATGATCTTGCGGAGGGGCGGGACAAGTATGTTCGGTATAATCTTTTCCAGTCATTCGCACTAAGCAGGTGTTGTTTAGCTATCTCATAGAGCTACGGAATATCGCCGTCAACTTCCGCCTCATCTCACCGACTACGGTGGCTCGTCTCAAGAGATCTGCGATTTTATTAGGCTCGAGGCGAGTCAAGAAATCTTCAGTGGCTGAGAAGGTTCGACCCTCAGACCGTCAAGATGATCTGGAAGAAGAAGATTGGGATTTTGAATACGACTTGGTGACACCTGATCGAGTGGTCATTGCGGACGATTCAAATTTATACCAATTATTCGGTAGCTCGATTTTTACAGCGCCACAAGAAGAACTCATCGAAGGTATGCGTTTTCGAGAGACCTTCTCTGGGATTTTACTTACCACGGACTGTTCAGGATTCTATTCACAATTGGGCAGCAAATCATTAGGCACCCTCGTACGGGAAGAATACAGCACCGGAAACGAAATTAAGGAATCGCGTAAAGCTGCTGAAGTTCGGTCATTAGTATTGGAGAGGTTACCGCTTTTTTTGCATGAACAGCCACACACTCGTCGTCGTATCACTTTTGACTGGCTCAACGATGATCGCAACTTTATCGTCAAAATGTTCGGTAAACTGATGGTTGTCAAGTCTCTCCAATTCGACGGCAAACCTTTGCGACGCACTCAAGAGTCTTCCGCAGTGGCCAAGCGAGTTGGTCGTGGGCCAATTGAACTCTGGTTGGCAGGACGTGATCAAGTGGATATGTATGAGTAAGGGAGATGTGTGCATAACTAATGACAACCTCACTAAAATACTTCTGCAGAGTGTCGACGTCCATGTGCCGGCTTTTATTCGAATCTCCAAAGATCAACGATTCGCTTCTATTTATGACGATCTTATCAACAGACTTGAGGGCTCTTAAAAGGAGGGGATATAACGGTATGATATCATTTGTTTACATGCTCTGGGTAGATTGTGTATATCTTTTCCAGTCGATCGCATTCTTCGGCAGCAGAAAGCGCAGCGCGAAGCTCAGGCTGAGGCAGCGGCAAGATCGTCAGCGCTTATCCCGGAGAGTCGTTCCCAATCTCCGACATTGCCTGGTACCTTGAAGGCTGAAGAGAAGCACGAGATCTCATCAGCTCAGACGGAGCTTGCGAAGCTGCAATTGGGTACTAATGACCCTTTGAGGAATCCGCCGAGAGCATCCTCCACAATTCGCCAGTCGCTCGACTTATGGAAACGTCGATTTGGCGCGAAGCCACAGCCTGTCAAGGGTTCCGAGGACGAAACCAATTCCCTTCCGGCCGGTAAGCCAGGCAATGTGGACAACATTCCATCACCGCAAATTGGAATACCACCACAAATCACATCCGAGCTCAATATGGGACCTCTCGAACAAACACATCAGTCAAAACCTCAAGGCGATCGGAATGGCTCCAGGTCCGGTGTAACTCCACCCTCCATGATCGGTGAGCAGTCTTGACATCTCTGAGACGTAGATTTATGCCAAATATCTCCAGCCCACAATGTCAATCTTGCCATTAATGCATGCAAGCAAGAGAAAAGTGACAGATTGCAGTCCCGCGAAAGAATGCAGATGGTGGAGGAAACACTAAAGGAGGGATATTGCGATGGTTCTGGGGAATCGCTAGACCTAGTGCGGGTTGGTGCGTCATATATATCTCCTTCACAGTGGAGTCTCTTCTCACTATACCAGGCGATATGGGGAGTGTGAATTTCTTCGTGTCTAAAGGTAAATGGGAAAAGATAGCATGCTGTTTTATATTGCTCACTGCTTTCAGACATCTCCGATGCCGAATCACTTATGGCAGCGAAAGCGGAAAGCCTCGCGAGATTCATATACGTGATACAACCTCTCTGTGAAGCCTACAAGCTGCCCATGTCTAGCACACATATTTACTACGATTCAGTCGGACATCGCATCGCATTCAACAGGAACGCGAGCTTGTTTCTCAATTTGCGATACTTCGAAGCATGGCGTATGTCCAAAGCTGCGTCATGATGTGAATGGACTGATAGATTTGGCTATATAGACGATGAATCTGTACAGCGTGGCGAAATGAGGGATGCTCAAGTATCATGGTCTGTCGTTTCTGTCGCCTGCAGGCGTGTCTTGACCTATGTTCAACTATAGGTATTTTACCCTGGCCCATGAAATAGCGCATAACCTTGTTGGGCCTCATAACTCAGAGCACGAATTTTATTTTTCCGCAATTTCACAAGCCTGTCTCCCATCCTTGATTAGGCTGCTGCCTACGACAGACTCATCCTCGTAGTCCACACATATTCGTCACGGTATCACTCGTTTATAATACACGGTTTGACTAATTGCACATAAACTCAAGTAATCCATGTAATCTATGACACGTTCACCATGCATGATGCGATGGTCTGACCGAAGTCCACTACCGCTGTGGCAGAGCCTGTAATCCTCCCAGTATGGGCAAAACGGTGTCCGATTGTCGAGCATGTAGTACCAGACATGCGCAAAAAGAGACCGCATTTGCACTTGATTTTCCGAGCTCGAACGTTAGATGTTACATTCAACGGGCACCGAACATGGCAGATCGCTAGCCTCTGATTGGTCCACTTGCCATGTTCTTTGCACGCAAAGTCCAGCCAAGTGATCGCGCTTTGAACCGTTCAAATATTGCAGGGAAATGCGATCTCTCGCGGCCAGCTTCCGACGCATGTTCAACCGCCGAACTTCGTCAATTGCCCACGGTGTCCGGAGCGAACTTAGATCCAAACTACGGCACCTTCCAAATTAGATATCAAGTGTGGCTCCAGCGCGTTCCCCAATAGCGCCGCGTTCTGCTAAGAGTTACCCTTGCCTCGTACGCACTCCTTGCCCTTGTCCTCAACGCCGCCACATAGTAGGCAGCTGTCGAAATGGGTCTCTACGAGGACGAAGACGACCGAGAAGAGTACAAGCAACACAATGCTCCTGATCCAGAGAGCGAAGCGCTGCTCCCGACCTCACAGCAGAAGATTCAGGATCCAGCACAGTCCAGGTGCACCTCGAGATGTTCCGTATTCACCTCTCGTCATGCATGGCAGATGTCCCTGGCTTTTCTGAGCGGGATTATGGCTTGCGCATTCTTGCAACTCCTCATCGGTTCCCGTCATTGGTTATTTTCTGGACAGGACGCTGACACCCTCAATGTAAACATTCTCGCCCCCCCATACGTTGGTTCCACAGAGGTCCACCATTTCCCTCCTGCGACTCCGACTAACTACTTTCCTTCGTTGTTCCCAACTCATGTTGGTCATGCTGGCCCAACACCAACCGGCGCGGAGCCCGGACTCATTGCTACTGCCCCAGCGTATCCCATACATAGTGGCGCTGCTCACTTGGTGTCACCTTCTTTTACTCAACAGGGAGCTAACAAGAGCGATTTTAACTTATTCACACATTGGGGAAATCTCTCTCCTTGGTTCAGTGTCGGCAAGGGTGCGTTCGGGCTGGACTCCAGTCCAGAGGCTCCTGATACCTGTCGTGTCACTGGCTTGCATCTCCTGCACAGACATGGTGCACGTTATCCAACCGAGTGGGGTGAGTACGTTCAAACTCATAGTGAAGAACTCAACGCTGCTAGAGCCTACATAATAGCTGTTATGCTGTTCTGTATCCTTTACTTGCAGCGACTGACGTCTGTCTCCGTCATCAGCATCGTATGGCGGTCCCGCAAAGTTAGCCTCGAGATTGAATGAGGCTGCTTCGTGGTGGACTGCTAGCGGCGGCCTGACATTTTTGAATGACTGGTCAGTAACGCGTATACGTTCATCCTGCGAGTACTTATGTTACTGTGCCGCAGGACCTATAAGCTAGGGGAAGAGAGTAAGTTTGCGAACAGTGGTTGAACATGCGTTTCCCTCTGACTTCGACCAGTCTTGACGCCGTTTGGCAGGCAACAGCTATGTGAGGTGCAATTATCGGGACTATGCATTGCACTCATGAATGGATTGTAGTTGATCTCGGGGTCTCGATGCGTATGAAGTATGGTTTCCTGTTGAAGGTAGGTATACTCTCTTTGACCTGGATAAATCCTCATGGTCATCAATATACAGAATTTTACGGAAACCAATACTATACCCGTCTTCCGCACTGAGTCGCAGTAAGTAGTAATCTGCCACTAGCCGCCCCTCTTATCCTTCAAGCAGGGATCGTATGTTGGCGTCGGCATTGAATTTTGCAATTGGTTTTTTTGGTTATCCTTTCGAGGGACAGTATGAGCAAAGTATCACGATTGAAGATCCTGGTGTGCGTAAAGTGCTGTTCGTACTGCTGCTTGAGCTAACTCTTCCGTAGTACAACAATACGCTTGCGCCGTATAAGACGTGAGTTGGTCGCACCGCCCTTGAGTTTGCCGTTGTAACCTCTAATCTGCAGATGCCCTAATGCGGCTTTTCCCTCAAAATCCGATCGTGCTTTCCCTTATTTACAACAATGGACCTCTATATATCTCAGGGATGCACTTGCCCGCCTTGCCCCTCAATTGCAAGGCTACAATCTAACTATTGAGGATGTGTATACCTTCCAACAGCTGTGTGCATATGAGGTTTGTGGTTGTCTATGAGTTTATGTGAAAATCTGGATCAGATATATCAACTAAACAACGGACTTCTCAGACTGTCGCCATTGGATATTCCAAATTCTGCGAACTCTTCACAGAAGAGGAATGGGAAGGCTTTGATTATGCGTTGAGTACCAGTCCCTTTCCAACTATGAAATATAGCTGATGTTTCGATTAGAATGGATATATACTTCTGGTACGATTCCGCTTTCGGATCACCCCTAGCGAAGGTATTGGGTATAGGATATGTTCAAGAACTGGTTGCGCGCCTTACGCATACACCTATCGCAACGCACAATTCATCCACCAATGCCACCTTGGATGATAGCCCCTTGACATTTCCTTTAAATCAAAGCTTGTATGTTGATGCTACACACGAAGTTGTAGTGCTGCACGGTGCGTTCTAGCATGGTCTTGTGGCCACTATTGACGCTATTATAATCTTAGTTATTACCGCACTCAACTTGACTACTTTGGCTTCCTCGGGTCCCCTTCCCGCTGATCATATACCTTCTCACCGTTCATTCAAGGCATCCCATCTCGCACCGTTTGCTACGAACATTCAGTTCCAGCGTACGTTGGCCATCGTCATGAGACATTTTCTAAGCGCTGACCTCACCGTTTCCAAGTCCTTTCATGTTCCTCGGTGAAAGACCCTCAAATCCGTATCATAATCAACGATGGTGTGGTGCCACTTACAGGTCTTAAAGGTTGTCCGGTTCAGCAAGATGGGATGTGTTCCCTTGCTACATTCGTTGAGGCGCAGAAAGAGATTATCGAGGAAACAGACTGGGAATACGGATGCCACGGCGATTGGGAGATCCCTGCGGGACCAGCATGGAATACTACAACAGGGTCACCCCCTTCGCTATAGATATTTGTCATAGATAGCCAGGTTACAGTTGATGCGTTTTGCGTAATGTTCATTTTAATTGTTTGGCTTCCAGCTTCAGATACCGAGCTACTTGAGGGAAACCAACAGGGACAATGAGCCACTGAGTTCAAACAGATACAAACAACATGAGGCCATTCTACGACACAGCGAGACAACCCAGAAATGACAAGTCCACTGGCAAGGGCGTCCTCTATCTGAGCTCAACGGCCAGCTGGCACCGCCTCCGTCTGCTTGTCTCCTGTTTTGTTCTCAATTCTCGCCTCGATTCATTCGTGCAATCTTATATTCTCTATTGTTGCCTCGTCTTTCTTTCCCCTCGCTCGCTCGTTAATCTCTTTCTCATATGTCTGCTCCGCCCTCGCCACATAGTGGTCAACTGGGTCATGACAAGGGACGCACGAAGAAGAAAGACAGACCACCAACCCTAGTATTCGGCGACCCTAAAGCTGCATCTGACGGGGATGTACAATACGAGCGCGATGTTCGTAGAGATGTACGACAGGTAATCATCCGTCCGGATCGTTGCACCCTTTTGCTAACTACGTGTTTTACAGCCTGTTGGCCGCGTACGAACAGCCGAGGAGCCTATTACGCTAATGGATGCCGAAGCTCCGCGTTCTGCCTCTGCTACATCTTCGCTTGATCCCTACTACTTCAGCGTACAGAGCCCATCTTCATCGCCTCTACCTGCTCTTCCGAGCACGCATTCCCTGCCCAAGACTCCCGAAATGCGTTCTGTGAACGAACCTGTCACGCCAGGCAAGGATCCTGCTGCCATTGACAGACGAGGATTGGTTGGGGTGGGTGAGCTTGCTACCCCACGCTGGGCGCGGGGGTCACGCAACGATGACATTGAGACTGAGGAGCCAGTGGGCGAGGTGAACGAAGATGATATTAGTGATGATGTACGGTTCGGCGTGGAGGAGGCCGAGAAAGATATGCCAGATAGCCCGTGGACTATCGAGGCTGTGGACGGCGATCCAGATGACAAGGACCAGGTTGGTAATTTATTACCTACATCTCAGTATTTTCCTAATGACACGCATGTGGAATAGTTTCTCGAGGTGAAGGCTGTTGCGCGCCCGTTGCGCTCGCAGCGCTCTGTGGCAGACGAGAGCGGTGGCGAAGAAATTCTGTATCCTCGCCATCGTCATCCGATAGATCAAAATATTCCCGATCATCCACCGGCCACTCAGCTAATTGACATCTCTACTCCGGAACTTACCATTGCTTCCGATTCAGTTGTCCAAACGGGCAGTGGGGTATCGCCACCCAGCGCCTTCGCCTCTCTTCCACACCGTCCACGGAAACGGACATCGGATGAATTTGAGATGGACTACGCTGGAGTATTGGTGTCGAAGCATGCCTCCATCGTAGTACCAGCGAATGGCAAAGAAAAAGATAAAGCTTCCGTGCGTAGGCACAGGAGTCTTGGAGTCGGGTCGCCCTCGGCGGGTTCCTCGAGGGAGAAGGCCAAGGATCGTCGGACAAATACGCTGTCCGTCAGCGTCAAGCATTCCAGACAAGCTTCAGCGAGCTCTTCCTCTTCAAGCCACGGGGAGACACATCCTCGTCGTGCTCCTTCAGATTTCTCGCATCTTCCCCCATCTCCGTCGTCATCTTCCATCAAACAATTCCTGAGACATGGGACATCAAATAGTAACGCCACTTCTCCTCTACAAGGTGCTTCGAGAGAGAAGGAAATTTCATCGCAGCTTCCAGCGAATGTTGTCGCGCACTCACTCTTGCGTGGTACTCAAGAAGGATGGTCTGATTTAGACGACCAGACAACAGCTGCGGCTTTGAGGAAGCTGGACGGTCTGTCCTCTCGGAGTACTCGTACTAGGTCGAGTATTGGTCCGCACAGCCGATTGGGCAGCTTGAGTCGGCCCAGTAGTCGGCCCAGTACTCCGGGAACCGGCTCATCCCAATGGGAGGGTATTGAAGGTGGCCGCAATAACAGACGTACCAGTACTCATGCTGTCCTCTCCACTAAAGACCTTGAGAAGGTCAAGGAGCCGTCATATCATCGGCAGGCAGTTGGTTCTAACTTCGAAACCACTGCGACGTCCGCAGATGGCGAGCGCCACGGTACTCCAGTAACCTCAGGTGACGATCGCAGCGCCTCTCCCTTGCTAGACAAGCCACTAAAGAAGTCTGATTCAATCAATGCTCGCTCAAATTTCACACCCAAGCGCGGTTCTGCTTCATCTGGGACTTTCACAAGTACTCCTACTACCAGCTCTCGTGATTCTGCGACTTTGTCTATCAGTACTAGCGCCACATCTGTGTCGGCGACGTCTGGCCGGCAGTCGGCGAACAAAGCCAGAAGGAACAGTGCCAGTAGTGATATATCAAGTAGTCATACGGGCGATGCAACGTCTATACGAGACCGGGCTGCCGCATTGGCTACTCATTCGGACACTCATGAAGAAAACCCGGTACCTCCTGTACCGCCACTGCCCAAAGACATCTCCCAGTACAAGCCCCAGCGACAATCGTCAAATGGTCCGGTACCAGAAACCCCTGGCGTTGCAAAGTCCAAGCGAGAAACAATCAGTGATATCAGCTTCCAAGCTGCCCTGGATGTTCCTTCGTTCCCTAACACGCCTTCGAAGCATGCTTCGCTGCAAGTACACAAGTCTACTACGCCTACTAACTTGCACAAGACGCCATCAAAGAAATGGAGCTTTACTAACGCTTTGGGGAAGAAGCTCTCAAATTCGCCGTCGACTTCTTCGATGAAGGACGCTACAGCTACGAGGTCATCCGGGTTTCCCATCAGTCCGCGCTCTTTGACATTTGGTGCGCAACTTAGGAAGTCAGTCTCTAGGGAAAATCCGCTCTCCTCGGCTTCCAAGACTTCTACGGAAGACTGGTCACAAATAAACGGCTCTGCGACTTCACTCGCATCTGTGTCATCGGTTGGTTCTGTGTCGGGGTCTATACGGGATCCTTTATCTCCTGCTATCTCTGGTGCATCTCTGCATCCATCTGTGCTGTCGTCGCGGACACCAGATCGCTTAGCACCGAGTCGTTCTGAGACCGCTTCGAGTGCGAGTACCAACGTCCCCATCGTCCCACAAGCACCTCTGAGCCCAACCTCTTCCATTCATCGGCACCCATCCTCTAAGCGGCTTACTCCTTCTTCTATCCCATTTTTCCGTCGTTCGTCGTCACAATCTATGCAGTTACCTCCTTCTCATACGATGCCTCCGCCTCCCTCACCTACGTCGGCCGGAACGCACAGTTTCTCAACTCACCTGCGCGCACCAAGTAGCCATTCTCCCATAAAGGATACTAGCCTCTCTTCACCTTCTGCAGCTGGTTCTGCTCATAAGAAGTCGTCTGTGCTAAGTCTCGGCTTGCCGTCACTACTGAAGGGTTCAAGTTCTCGGCGTAGCTTACACTCAGATAAGGAGAAGAGCGATGCGAAGAGCGGCAAGGAGAGCCATTCGGCGAAGGAATCGGATAAGGAAAAACAAAGAAAGGATGACAAGGAACGAAGTGAAAGTAGAATCTCTGTTCTGATGGGTCGAAAACGTGGAAAGGTTCGTCTCAAATTCATGGGACTTGAATTGAGAAGCTCAGTCCTTTGCACAGACATTGTCATCTGCGCAGCCAAAGAAGATAGAACCAGTGCCTTTGCCACCGATGCAGATTTCCGCTCTACCCGCTGCGACCGCGCAAAGAGTTGCCAGTCTCAAGTCCACTTCATCTTCATCGCTGTCGTCTAATCAGCAGGTGCAATCGACGAAGCCAGTCTCCTCTCGGGCAACATCCCAGACTGTCAGCTCAATGCAGAAACAATCTGATACATCATTGCGAAGTCGGAATCAATTACCTACGATTGCTGGTTCGCCATCGGTGGGTAGTGTAACTTCACATGTTGCAAGAGAAGCCAAGGAAGCCCCACCCTCTTCATCCTTGAACCCGACTGTAAGTCTATCCAAAGAGACACCTACTAAGATTCCTCGAATCTCGAGCCGATCTTCAACGGCGAATTCCCCGACACTGAAGGCCAATGGAGCTGGTCGGAGAGCGAGCTTATTAGTTGGTGGCTCCGCGCTTACGCCCTCGCGTGGGGCTTCACCGACTGCGGGAAATGAGTTCATGAATGAATTCGGTGTGCTTGAGAATGGACATGCCCCATCTTCGAAACCTACTGCATCGAGCCAACGTCATTCCATTCGGGCGTCTCCGTCGACGACGTCGCGTGTTCCTCGCCAGGTTTCCGCGTCCACGTCCACCACTGCTAACAGTGCCGCCCCGCGCAAAAATCGTGAATCGATGTCATTCGCTGGCCTTCGCAAGTCATCAACAGGATCGGTGGCGTCCATATCATCTGTTGCACAACAGAATGAGCCTCAGTCGTCACATCGCTTCTCCGCGCTCTCGCCTTCGAAGGGTTTGAAGTTGCTCAGCCCAAAGATGTCTCTTCCAACATCTAGGTCCTCCAATTCCTCATCCACACATAGTATCCAGCAGGCCATGGCTTCTCCATCCACAAGTCGACAGTCATTGTCGACTCCGTCGCCCGCGCCAAGCTCAATTGATGAGGAGGAACTACTTGGCGATGAAGAGATGTTGCAGTACATTAGACGTCAACAGGCAAAGAAGCTCGCAGCCGGGGCAACACAGGAGGAGCTTGATGGGTTATTGCGATTCCCAGAACCTATCGCTCCTACACCAGCGACAACACCTGCTGGTGAGTTGTCCTTTTAGCTATACCATTCATCGTATTCACTTTTTCATGTCAGCCCTCCTTAAGAGTGCACAGGTCCAATACTTGTCCAATTATGAGTGCAAGGAGATTCTCGATTTCCCCTCTGTCTACTGCATCGGTGCCAATAGCGACAAGAAGCGGGCGACTTGGGAGAACTCAACCAATAATCATGGATATGACGATGAACGAGGAGACTATCTTGTAGTGAATCACGACCATTTGGCATACCGGTACGAAATCTTCGATACGTTGGGCAAGGGCTCTTTCGGTCAAGTCTTGAACTGTCGTGACCACTGTACGGGTGAATCCGTGGCCATCAAGATCATCCGAAACAAGAAGCGATTTCATCATCAGGCTTTGGTTGAAATTAAAATACTTGACAGCCTGCGGAAATGGGTGAGTGGTCATAGCTTGACTCATGTCTCAATCGTCCATTCTAACCACTATCTAGGACCAAGATGAGAAACATCACGTCATCAAAATGACGGAGCATTTCTACTTCCGTGGCCACCTTTGCATTGCGATGGAGTTATTGAGCATCAACTTGTATGAGCTAATCAAGGCTAATGGTTTTGTTGGCTTTACAACTGCATTGATACGGCGCTTCACAAGCCAGATGCTACAGTCCTTGTCTCTCATGAGGCACCACCGTATCGTTCATTGTGACTTGAAGCCTGAGGTATGCCCGTTGATCGATCACCCTACCAGACCCCTAATCTGCTTCTAGAATGTCCTCCTTCGACATCCAGCGAAGAGTGCGATCAAAGTGATCGATTTTGGCAGTAGCTGTTTCGAGCATGAGAAAAGTAAGTGAAATGTTATCGACTGCGATATATGTGAATCCTAATCGGTGATAGTCTACACATACATTCAAAGCCGTTTCTATCGATCACCTGAAGTCATCCTGGGCATGAACTACCACATGGCAATTGATATGTGGAGTTTGGGCTGTATCTTGGCTGAGTTGTATACTGGTTTTCCTATCTTCCCTGGCGAGAACGAGCAGGAGCAGCTTTCGTGTATCATGGAGATTTTGGGCGTGCCAGACAAAGACTTTGTCAATCGAAGCTCGCGGAAGAGGCTGTTCTTCGGTATGCTTTGTATATTTTTGTTATCTTGGTACACATTCTTATTGAGATTGTGTAGACACCACAGGTGCCCCCAGGCCGGTTGTAAATTCCAAAGGCCGGAGACGACGCCCGGGCACGAAAAGCCTCGCCCAAGTCCTTCGATGTGACGACGAGCAATTTGTAGATTTCATCGCTAAGTGTCTGGTCTGGGATCCTGAGCGACGGATAAAACCACAAGCCGCGCTAAGACATCCCTTCGTTACCGCAGGCCGACGTGCAAAGATCACCAGTCCGACCCCGGGCACTGCAAAAGCGTTGTTGTCTTCTACAGCTGGCTTCAGCAATCGGAGCAGTAAACATGTTACTGAGACGCCAAAGAAGTCTATGATCAGTGCACCTACTCCCCTTACTGCTCGTTCTACTCGGACGAATGGGGCCGTCCCTAGCACACCTAGTACGTCGTCTACAGTGCACTCGAATCTGGGCTCGTCGAGAACATATCGGACGTCTCAAGCACAGTCAATGTCATCGTACCATTCAAGTCGAACAATGGTCAGCCGATCCTAATTTGTTGATGTCTTGTGTGGCGAAGACTAACCTGAGCTTCCTTCCAGACTGCAAAATGATAGAAGCACTAACTGGCATCGTGACCTGGCTGCTCTGATAGAGCTTTCTCTGATCTGCATTTATATTACTTATCACACGCTGACGACTCTTAAGCTGGTCTGGTCTTCTACTGCATACCCTGGTTCACTGTATTTTATTAGCATCCATCGCTCTGATTTGCTAGTTCGTTGACGATTTTCACGCGTCCGATGCTATTTGCACCTCATCACAGACATACCTGCACTATTACATCTTCTGCATTCCAATACATCTGGATTAATGACTAGTATCTTTGGGACTTTACCTATCCCTTTCGCGCGGTCTGATTTGCGTGTCATAACGCAGGAACCGGGCAACTTGGCACCATTTGACAGACTGCTAAGCCGCAAGTAACAATGCTACTACTGACAGCCCACTAGATCTCCACATCCCCCGCACCATCTAGGCATCTCAATCTCAAAAAGACGTCGCTCCCTGCTGAAGTTATTAGAATCTGCAAACAATTATTTGTAACCAAACACATACCCCACCCATCTAGAGAGACAAATTCCAATAAACCACCAAAATATCTAATTCATAAAAATTGGTGCATAGTGTCTGAGAACACCCAATCAACGACATACCTAGCGTACAGCCGACTCATTGGAAGTCCATATCCCAGCCCGGCTATGGTGCCCATGCCTATTTGGACACCACGTCCAGCCATTTCCGCGAAGAGGCCACTACCGCCTGCTAGAGAACCTGACCCTTCAACGGCAGCGCTGCCACCAACATGTTGAGCAGCATATGGGCCACCCCCTAGCTCAGGGTCGTCCCATCCGCCCCCGCTGCTTGATTGCGCTGCATTGCGTCCGGCAGTAGTAAAGGAATATGAGAAGATCTGGGCTAAATGCGTCGGCTGAACACCTCCACCCTGATCGCGCACGCGCATAGAGAGGAACCGCGGACTCGAGGAACCGCCTATAGGAGGCGGAGAGATAGTGATCACAACAGGGGGAATGGTTGAACTGCGGGAAGAGGAGTGCCGATTGAAGTGCCGTTCAGTCGTGGCACGGAAAGCGTTTTTCAGAATCTCAGTGAGTATGTACTCCAAGTGTACGGGGACATAACTACAACAATAAATCATAGCACTTCAGGCCCATTGTGCGACGCGTTTTGAGATATTAAACACTTACGCGAAGGTGGCATCTACGTCGCCGTCGATAATGATCTCTGGATGGGCCCCAAATGTGGCTTCGCAGAGTTCACCTACCCAAGACGCACACATGGAGACCATGTCCCGCGGTGAACATGACATGTGCACCACACCCAAATGGTCTTTGCTGCTGTCATTCTCCTCCAGAGCACGAGACAGTGCAATGTGCTGCTCGGCAATGAGACGGACGGAAATGCGGGTACGTATAGCCTCGTCGAGGAAGATACTAATCTGCTCTGGAGTCATGTAGCGCGAACATTCCTGGAAGCTGTGCGTGATAATCATTCAGCGTCCTGAACTCGTGCAACACCCGAGCGGGCGAGTCACGTAGGACCGGCCATGTATAAGATGGGAACGCTACTCACCCCTTTGCCATGGTGGGGACGTCATCTGCATGGGCTCGTACAAGCGCCTCAAGCTGTGCGGAAAATCGTTTGTTATCCTCCAAGGTTTTGACTGGAGGATACGAAGTCATGAGCTGGAAGCTCCTACGATATGCCTGCAGTGTGCGGGCTATGAACGGATTCATTCCTACAATGAAAGGGAGTGCTTCCAAGGAACGGGCGCGCAGAGCCAGACGGCGAGGTATCTCTGCGAAGACATATCCAACAGAGGCGAGGACAGATTCCGGGGAAACGGGGTCGGCGAAGGAGAGGAGGTCGGAGAGGACGAGCGGGCGTGGGGGCTGCTTACGGACTTCCTCCATTCGTCGTGACAGCTGCGCCGCCGAAGGACCTCCGTCCGCTGTGTAGCCACTACCGACCTGCGCATGCAAGGCCCTTCGGTCGATGGTGCATGCTGTTAGAGAGCGAAAAGGACGTTGGCAGGACCGAACAAGTCGAGACGACGCTCCCAATCTGATCATGGCCTCCGCTAGGATGTCATGCATCCATCATAGGCACATATCTCCCCATTCGATCAATGTCACAGCCGAACCCAACGCAAGCCGCGTTCGAGAGCTCTTCTTGCATGCGTACAAGATTCAATATTCACACACATGTTTCATGGTAAAACGAGAAAAAAAGTCCAATAGCGAGTCTGAAACTAAAATAAAGTGCATAAACGACAGAGCTATCCTAGTTATATACCTGGTACAATGGCCTGCATAGTATAAGATGAGCACATCACAGTGGGAAAATAATATGTATACGTACGTGCTTGAAAATTTCGTGCCTTGTCGCACCACCTTTTCCACAGCGTCCAGGAAATCCCGTTCGGTCGCTACCTTCCGTCGTGCACGGATCGCAAACATTCCTGCCTCCGTTGCTACTGAACGAAGCTCTGCACCAGTAGTACTAGGGCACAGCCGTGCAATCAGTTCGAATCGGATATCACGCTCGCAGCTCATACTGAAATGAGGCATTCAGTGACACATAGATACACGGTCAATAGACTACACCACACGAACCTTCGAGCGTGAATACGCAGAATATTTGCGCGACCTTCCACGTCCGGCAGCGAGAATTCGACTCGTCGATCTAACCGACCAGGCCGGAGAAGAGCAGGATCTAGCGTATCAGGTCTGAATGGGTTAAGCCAATGTCAGCCCTTAAAATCATTACGAGCAGCACACACCGATTCGTAGCCATCAGGACCTTGATATTTCCTCGCGGGTCGAATCCGTCTAGCTGATTGATCAATTCCAACATCGTTCGCTGCACTTCGTTGTCTCCCCCGGCACCATCGTCAAATCGCGCCCCACCTATCGCATCAACCTCGTCGAAGAAAATGATACATGCTTTCTTACTCCGGGCCATTTCGAACAGTTCACGGACCATCCGAGCGCCTTCCCCGACGTACTTCTGCACCAACTCCGAGCCAATCACACGAATGAATGTTGCATCTGTACGATTGGCCACTGCTCGTGCGCAGAGCGTCTTCCCCGTTCCTGGTGGACCGAATAGGAGGACACCCTTTGGAGGATCAATACCGAGATTTACAAATCGCTCAGGCTAACACACACTCAGTAAACCTTCGTGGATACGTAAACGAGATGCACGCACCGACAATAAAGGTGTTTCTACAACTTCGCGAAGCTTCTCGATCTGTTCCTTGCAGCCACCAACATCAGAATATGTCACATCAGGCTTCTCTTCCACCTGCATCATCGTGACGGAAGCATCAATCTTGGGGGGTAGCGGAATCTGTATTTGATACTTTGTTCGGTCGACCCTGCCATCCCAACCAGTCAAAAAAAAAGCTCTGATCGCCGCGAAGGAATATCCTTGCTCACCCTACCCGCATGCCCTCCTCGATATCGGTCGGCGCCACCCGATCACCAAGACCCACCACAAATTTTGCAATCTGCTTGATGTTGATTACATATTTGTCCTGCTCATCTGCACCCTTCTGGCCCTGCATTGCGCCCGTGGGGTTCACAGCACGAGCTGCGGCGGCGAGTTCTGGATCCTTGGGTATGATCTTAGTACAGCGTGCGACTTGGAGAGCGTGCTCTTCGTTCATACGTTGCCGGTCAACTGGCAGGTCCCACAGATTTGGAGAGGCAAGCCCGGTATCAGACTCCTTAATTCCTGAAAAGGAAAAAGGTCAGAATGGACGGAGGTAACATTATGCGAGCATACCGAGTTTCTCGTTCACGCGTTTCTGAGCATCTTTGATATCCTGTTCGATCTTTTTGAGTCTTGATGCATAAGCACCCTGTCCCTACAGTGCTGTAAGTACGACCATGGGTACTGATAGCATAGCAAACTGACATATGTTTTCAAGATCTGAATGTCGCTGTCGTCGAGGGCTGAAACCCTTATCAGTTCGCGAAAGCAGTCCAGGTGATTCATTACAAACCTTTGATTTCTTTCTCCTCCTTATTATCTGCTTTCTTCTCCCCTGTAGACCAGAAGCGTCAAGAGCTATACAGCCGGCACTCAATTCTCATACACACATTTCTCCCAGTCGCTGTTAGCAGTATGTAAGACACAGAGTGCAATACAATAATGATTGGATACGTACGATTTGGGTGGCATGTTGGGAAACTTGAATAATTCTGAAAGAGGAGATGAGAGTGCGAAGAGAGTGCTATGGAAAGGACGCGTCAGTGTGCACCGAGAACGACGCGCTTCGGGCATACCGGTACTTAAGTCCGTACTGCCTATTATGGCATAACATCACGTGGATTTACCGTCGTGCAGCTTATTCGGATTCCGGTCTGACGCACTTGAGTTGTTGTGCTCTTCATCCAGTCCTGTCAACTTACCATGGCCGGCGCACTCCCAAATGCAAAGAGAAATCTCCCCAAGATCGGCGATGAGGACCGCGAGTCCATGTTTGGCCAAGTTTTTGGTGTGTCTGGACCCGTCGTAATTGCGGAAAACATGACCGGATCGGCGATGTATGAGCTCGTCCGGGTGGGACACGACGAACTTGTTGGAGGTATGCGCTGAAATTGGAATACGCACGCCTCTAAAGAGCAAGCTCATCCGATACTCGTAGAGGTCATTCGAATCGATGCGGACAAGGCGACGATTCAGGTGTACGAGGAGACATCTGGTGTCACTGTGGGTGACCCTGTGCTGCGCACCGGAAAGCCACTGAGTGTCGAACTTGGTCCTGGTGTGTGCAGTGCTTTGACTGAAGCACCACTTGTATTTATATTTTGTAGGTCTAATGTCGAACATTGTTGATGGTATTCAGCGACCACTTCGCGTGCGTCAGGCACTTTGCATCATATTGCGAGCGCTGACCATGAAACTAGTCCATTCAAGAACTATCCAAATCGATCTATATTCCACGTGGGATAAACACGGAAGCTCTTGATCGGTCTCTTCAATGGGACTTTGATCCTATTAATTACAAAGTATGTCTGTTCTTATAAATGTTTTCGACTCAGGACTAATCAACCCAGGTGGGAGATCACATATCAGGAGGTGATATTTTTGGACGAGTATACGAGAACTCTCTTGTAGACCAACACAAGATTATGCTTGGTCCTCGTGCGTTAGGCACAATCACGCATATAGCTCCCAAAGGGAGCTATGCAGTCGATGTAGGTCCATTTGATGACGCATACTCGTCTCTCTCTAAAATTGGCACTAGGACGTTGTTCTAGAAACTGAGTTTGATGGAAAGACTACACGGCATACTATGATGCAAGTGTGGCCTGTCCGTGCCCCCCGACCTGTAACGGAAAAGCACATGGCTGATTATCCCTTGCTGACTGGTCAACGTATTCTGGACGCTTTGTTCCCGTGAGTCCCCTCCCCATACTGACCAGGAGTCGTCGGTTTGGCTGACTATATCATGTACCAGCTGCGTGCAAGGAGGAACGACTGCAATTCCTGGCGCCTTTGGGTGTGGAAAGACTGTTATTTCTCAAGCGCTTTCGAAATATTCCAACAGCGACATTATCATCTATGTCGGATGTGGTGAACGAGGAAATGAGGTTCGATGTCATCGCCAGCCCCTGCATTAGAAGTGCCACTAAAGTCTATTACAGATGGCTGAAGTCTTAATGGATGTAAGCGCTACCTTCGTCTACCACCGATTCCAACCATTCGTGACCGTATGTTAGTTCCCAGAGCTGACGATGGAGGTCGGCGATCGCCAAGAGCCCATTATGAAGCGTACTGCGCTTGTTGCTAACACGTCGAACATGCCTGTCGCAGCTCGGGAAGCGTCCATTTATACAGGCATCACTCTTGCTGAGTACTTCAGAGATCAAGGCTCTAATGTCTCTATGATGGCCGACTCGACTTCACGTTGGGCTGAGGCACTGCGCGAGATCTCAGGCCGTCTGGCCGAAATGCCTGCGGACTCTGGTTACCCCGCATACCTTGGCACTAAATTGGCTGGATTCTACGAGCGGGCGGGAAAAGTTACGTGTCTTGGAAATCCTGTACGACAAGGGACGGTATCTATTGTCGGGGCGTGCGTAACTCGTTCTTTGTCTCTGTATATCCGATCTGAGAGGCTCTCAGTGTTTCCCCACCTGGTGGCGATTTCTCCGATCCTGTCACTTCGGCAACACTCGGTATCGTGCAGGTCTTCTGGGGTCTGGACAAGAAACTCGCCCAAAGGAAACATTTCCCCTCGGTAAACTGGAATATTTCTTACTCCAAGTACACGAAAGTTTTGGAATCGCATTACGAGACCACCGAACCAGGTTTCGTTGAGCTGCGTACGAAGACGAAAGAGATCCTCCAGAAGGAAGATGATCTAGCGGAAATCGTTCAGTTGGTTGGAAAGAGTGCACTCGGAGAAGCGGACAAAATCACGTTGGAGGTCGCCCGTATGCTCAAGGATGACTTCCTGCAGCAGAATGGAATGAGCGAGTATGACCGTTTCTGTCCATTTTACAAGACAAGTGCCATGTTACGTAACTTCGTCGCTTTCCACGACTCCGCACAGAAAGCCGTGTCGCAGGGCGACACTACATTTGCGAAGATCAGGGACTCGGCAAGTGACGTCATGTTCAAGCTGTCGCAGATGAAGTTCGAGGTAATGACAATTGTTGTTCTATACTGTATACGCGCTAAAATATGCACCTGGTAGTCTCCGTCACAAGGGAAGGAGCCCATGAAGCAAAAGCTGGATGCACTTTATAACGAAATCCAGGAAAAGTTCCGACAGCTGGTAGAGTAAGATACCCTAGGATTGCCCTCATGTAGTCCCGTTACGTAGCCAACTCTCTCTCTCTACAATATCGTTTCTGGCTGAGTATCCTCCTCAGAGCATGTCTGCAGACGACGTGCACTTCAGCGGCCATGTCAGCTACGATTGCTTCCGCAGGGGCACAGCGGCTATTATATGGAAGTGGATGGTTGAGACCCCCCTGTCATATCAACTTGGCATGTCTCATTGGCTCGTAGGTTTGATTTGCAACGCTAGCTCTTGTGTGATGACGATAGTCGCTGCGGATTTGTGGGGCCATATATATGTAACTCTCCTTCCGGCGGGTATCGCATCCCTCTTGTCAATTCCCATGTCGACTCCCGTGAAGCTGCTACTCTTCATCGTGTCACTCCTCTTTAGTGCGCAGGTGGCGTTCCCAAGACCTCCTACCAGAGAGCCATATGTTCGGGCGCTGAACGATGATGGTCCTCAACTAGCTTTCGGCTTCGCGGACAATGCCGTATCTGGATTTCCGGACGATGTTGCTCAGACTTTCCCCAACTATTACCAAACGTTATTGAACCAGACGATTTATCAGATACTAGGCGAGAGTCCGCGGTAAGATCATTCATCTGCAAAGCTTTAATATTGGGAAGACCTCAATTAATACCCATAGATACTCTCGTGTGTTCAAACTTGTCAGCTTGGCAGAAGATATTGTATCTTTGCTCAATGACTCCTCTGCCAAGTGTGTATATATCCGAGAGGACATTCAACACGTGGCTGATGGATAACCTTCAGTGTCACATTCTTCGCGCCTTCAAATGCGGCGCTGTCACCGCCGAAGATACTGACATTTATGGAATATCCAGGTTCCGTCGTCGAACTTGAAACCTCAAATCAGCCGATGCGTTCGCAAGATTGTGATACAGGTTGGCCGGACAAACAAAATAATGCGGAGAAGAGTAGTTCATTCGCCGAGTCACCCCCCCACGGAGATTGGCTCAGCGCTTTGGGAACTGCACAGGGGATCGTTGACAACTCTTTTCCAGATGATCTTGCAGTCTCAAAGCCCAACATCACAAGAATTATACGCGCCATTTTGCTGTATCATATTTTGCCAACCTTCGCAAATATCAGTGATTTAACTCGTAATTCTACGTATGCGACGAACCTTACGTTAGGAGATTCACTTGATGGGGAAGCCATGAGGATTCGCGTGGGCCGTTCACTCCTCGCTCCCTTATCAATCAATATGTACGCAAGGGTAACGAAGAACATCCTGGCTTCTAATGGTAGATTCGATCACAACCCGCGTTGTGTTCTGATTGTTTAGCTGGATATTATAGGTATAATCCACGAGGTCGGTCACTTGCTCCTCCCACCTCCGTCCATCTACGAGATTCTGTTCCTTTTCCCAGATGTTTTTTCCACCTTGGTTAGTATCGCATGATTCGCTCCTCCTGTGCAAGGATTAATTCAGGCTACACCAGACTTCGGCGTTTGGACGTACTGGGCTCATCGACGAGGTGGACTACCGACACGATCCTGACGAGGGAGCGCAAGGTGCTCGCTCGGTCACCTTGTTTGCACCGACAAATCGGGCTTTCAAAAGGTTACCCGCGAGGCTTCGGCGGTTTCTCTTTTCCCCATTTGGCCAAAAAGCTTTGGGAAAGCTGCTTAGGTACCACATTGCCCCGGACTTTGTTCTACATTCTGGTGAGTCTTGGTGACCTAGTCCAGTCTGTCCTAAATATAATTAATTGACATCTCAGATTGGCAACACAACGCGTCTGACGCCGATTTCAACAAAGCTGAGGCTGGCGCGTTTGAGGATATGGATAATGCTTATATTCATGCCGTTGAAACACAGTCGACCTACGACGCATACTCAATGATGGAAGGAAACTTCATTTCTGAGCCTTGCTCTTATTCGTGTTTCGCGCTTATGGGAGACGAGTGTCCACCGCATTTCCGCAGTCTACCCTTATCACATACTCACTCACTTCTCGTTGAGCACGAGCGATCGAAGTTTCGTGCACAGAACCCACAGGTTTTTGGAAACCATAGTACAATCACGGACCCGTTGACATCCTTGGGGGCGCCTCATGCTCCAATCTACTCGCTGAATGTAACTCTGCCCACACTCCTCACCAATCACTCTATCCATGTCCGAGTCGCCCAGTTCGAGTACAAAATTCCGTCGACGCACCCTTTCCCGTACAAATCAATTTATTCCACGGTCGTCGCCGCCAATGGGCGCAGAGTGAAGGTCGCCGATGTGGTAGCGCGGAATGGTGCAATCCATGTCATCGATCGGCTCCTGAATCCGCTTCAACACGGACATCCTCATAAACACCTCAATTGGCCCGGAGAGATCGAAGGACAAGATAGCCGCGATGAGTGGGAAGGTTGGGAAGAATGGCTTCCTCGATGGGCTGGTGAAAACTGAATGTTTGTATCCCTCACGTATGAGTACCATAAATCTGAGTCATTCGAGACACAGTAAACTTGCGGTCGTTTACAGATCTAGTTACTGTTATTAGCGAAGGATCTCCTTTCTCGCTCGAGATTGAAAGATAAACTATATTACGATGGGTTAACCAACATGTCCACGTTATATGACTCGCTATGCGAATTGTCACACTCCGAATCTCGATTATCCCTCCCTACTGACACGCGAGAATCTTGCCTCATTTTCTTCTTCAGACGCCTTCTATGGGTGCGCGTTCTGGCATGCACTTCCCACTCCTTTCCCTCTCTGACCATGACCGGCTTGTCTGGATTAAGTGAGCAAACTTGGCACACCACCGTTCGAGGTATATTTTGATCAAAAGAACTGTGATCGGAAACAGTAAGCGGCATGTAGATCTCATTCTTCAAAAATGCTACATTTACTTTTTCGATTGTCTCACGCGACCCAAGATCTCTCGAGCAGTATCAGACAGTTCTATAGGATTCATAAGCTCCTTCCCCTCCAAGAAATCTATTCAAATAAAGAGTCAGCTCAGACAAAAGTAGGGCGTGAATCTCCCGACTTTGAGTGATACTTTGTGCAGGACCCCGTACGCTAGACTCCCAGGTTGATGGCTCTGAATCAGTCTTAAAGTAAATTTAATGATAGTGATTGCAGAGCGCTGGGGCTCACCGGTCGCGTCCAGCAAGTACGCTATTGCCACAGGTGACGTGTTATTTGATTTGCAGGAGACTTTGACCGAATCAATGGCAGGAAGCAGTTTGTTGCGGATCCACATGATCTGCCTTTTGGCATATTTCCTAGTAGCAGCTTTCATATTCTGGAGAGCATCAAGGAAAATCTCCTCCGAATGGCCAGGGTGACTGAGATATTGGTGAAATTCTTTGTATCCTGAGAGCGCGTTCTAAATGGACTACCATACGGTATTCATATTTTACGTACCAATTGATTGATATATTCCTAGTGTGTAGTCTGCGTGATCCTCAAGGTCCGAATCTACAAGATCACTCTGCCCTCCTATTAGAGGGTCTGGAGTCGAAGGTCTCGCATCCTTCAATGTTCTAATTTCGTCGAGGAGTCCTTGCTACTACAACAGAAATGCTGAGCCGTCAAAAAATGGAGATGCTCAACATACCTGTACCATTTGGTCCACGCGCGCATCCAGACGAGGCTTTAAGATGTCCGGATTGGCGTACAGCCAGAAGCAAAGTGTTTGGTACCTGAAGGAATGTCGTTCAAGCAGCATCCAGAGCATCATTTCATCAGTATTACCTGGGTTGTACGTCAAGCTGCGACTGATCAAAGAAGATCTCACTTGGTAGCCTGCCAGTATCTTTTAAGATTATCAAGTTCCGTAGTACTTTTCTGGTATCTTTCCAATGCCATCGCTCAGCAATATGTGGATCAAGTGCCGATAACAAACTATGGAGAGACAATGCGAGTTCTGGATTCATCGTCGCGGATGGTGCTTTTTCCGGTAGAGTAGCGAACAAATCAGCCAATTCGCGCGGAAGGGAAGCAAGAGAGGCTGTAAGTTTGCCACAGGGCACAGTGGCACCGCGGGTATGTTTTCCATTAGCCGTATTCTCACCCATGGATACTAGTCGATTGGGAAAAACGAGATGTTGGATCCAGTATGACGTGCCACCGACAACAATTGGCACTTGGTTCCTTCGGTGCGTATCGTCAATCTGTGAACACAACTCTCATTTATATCATCGATATCTTAGGGGTTATAACTATGGACGAACTGCTTGCATGGCATCCTGGACCCATTGAGTCACGATATATTGCTCTCCGGGTTGTTTGAAACCCATCAATAGATGTTCAATTCCGGATTGTTCTGCCACTGGAACCTTATTAGTTATGATGTCCATTCCCGCATATACCTGCATAGCGTCCGCATTAATAATCCTAGCGCCCTGATACCCATGATCACGGTGTCCAAGATTCTGCGACAGCGCGAGAGCGAGTTCAATGGCGAGCTTGGACTTTCCGACTCCAGTCGTCCCACAGATTGTTATGAGGGGTCGTAGTGCCATGAACAAACAGCCAGACGTCTCGTTCCCGAGCAAGTTCTTGGGGGGGGGGGTAGTCGCGGTAAGAACATCCAGGGATAGATTCATCGTCTGTCGCGCTACTAGTACTACCCGTTTTGGAACCCGCCGTCACATCCCAATTCGTGTCGCGCGTCGCTCGGAATCTGCAGCATCATGTCTCTGTCCCGGTTCTGTGCGACCCCTGGTCGTGTCCATCTCTTCAATCTTTCCCCGGCCATTAACTCTCAGCATTCCGTACGTTTGAGTTCCACCATCACTCGCGGTCACTCATTCCTTTCGTAGCAAAAACGTGTAGGCCGCGGCCAGGGATCGGGACGAGGTGGCACGTCTGGACGTGGTCACAAAGGACAAAAAGCTCGCGCTGGGAATGGAAAACCGAGAGTCGGATTTGAAGGTGGTCAGACACCTATTACAAAGCTCATCCCCAAGCGTGGTTTCGTCAATGCGTATGTCTGTCTTGCACTTGGTCGCTCACCTCTGACATGCACTCATAGAAACACAAAAACGTGGGCCCCGGTCAATCTGGATCGAATACAGCATTGGATAGATCAAGGTCGACTTGAGTCATCACCTGAGAAGCCTATAACTGCTCGAGAGCTCCTCATGAGCGGCTGCATCCACGATGCTCACGACGGTGTGAAGCTGCTGGGCAATGTAAGCCAACTTAGTGTCTGTGTCATAATATTGGCGCATTGATAGTCCTCATTTCATCTTGTCATAGGGTGCAGAGCATCTAAAGACGCCTATACATGTAATTCCTTCGCGTGCGTCGCAAAGTGCCATTCGTGCAGTGGAAAAACTAGGCGGAACTGTCTTCTGCAAATACTACAACCCCTTGGCTCTTCGGGACTGTGTCAAGGGTAGGACGGACCGCGTGGAAGCTGCGCCCACACACCGAAGAGATATATGTAAGTGTGAAGCTCAATCTTGTGAATTTTGCTTAAGTTTCCGCAGTATGGTACACTCAGTGGAGGAATCGGGGCTATCTTTCCCCTACTGCGACGAACAAGATGCCCATGGTAGAGGAACGCTGGAAGGAGCTGTCAGAACAGCTCCGGCGATACAAGGATGATGTCACGGGCAAGCAGAAGTAATCTCAGATCACGCAGATCGTTTTTGCACTTTGATCATATACATAGATCGTATAGTAGAGGCTACGTTTGTTTACGATCGGGTGACATGCTACCACTACGAGATCTATACGGAGAGGTAGGCCCGTTGACCCTGTCTGGGGAGATACTCCGGCTACGTGAATGATAGGGAGAATTCGAACCTGACCGTGATCTGGAGGGAGTTCGCGAGACGAATCCAGATCCAACGGGTGATGGGGACCTGCTATTGCGACTGAGAGTACTCCTGCCACGACTGCGACTCTTCCGTCCCAACTCACGACTGTTAGACCCGCTTCGGCTCCTGCTTCTGCTTTTGCTTCTGCTTTGAGTACTTCGGCTTCGGCTCCTGTCCTTCTCACGTTCACTCCTGCCCTCCATGGCATCCAAGAGCCGACTTTTGCGCGGCCCGATATCCTGATTATCTTCAAGCACGTCTCGTTTCGTGAGACGGGGGAGAATAATGTCGCAGACTCGTTCGTCAATTAATAGATTATCCACAAACTCGTCCATATGGGTCAGTGAATATCCGTCTAAGCGAAAATGAGCAGAGATCATCCAAGAGATGTGTAAAGGGGCTCACTCATGCCACGATATCGCAATTTCCTATAGTCCTTTAACAGAGGCTCCAGTATTTCATAGACATCGATGGATGTGAATGTCATGCGGATATAAATGGCAGCTAGTGCTCGCATGTATCTACGTGAAGCCAGTGAGTAAAGTATACGAGATCCCCAAAGAGAATAGAATAACATACTTGAACTCATCTGCTCGTAAATATTCAAGCAAAATTTCCTTCTCTGGCTGGATCTGGAGCAATTTTAGAAGTAGACATAAGAACTCCGTCGGCTTTTGATTGCCATACACGCCGCCAATACTATTCAGCTCTAAGGCTTTGTCAATAAGAGTTTCGGCTGGGAATTCATTCATAAGCCCATCTCGTGTATTTCGTGCATACATGAGTATATGCATGCCTGTAAGAGCGAAACAGTGCTCTTTCCAATAAGGCGACTCATATATACGGTTGCGGATGACGGTCTCGACTAGAAACTGGAAAGTCAGTTATCAGAGCTGAGTCGACGGCTCACTGGCTCATAAGTTACCTGCGGATTCTGGCCGTGAATGGCTTGTGCGCCGCGGACAGTGGTGTTGGCCATGGTAGGGGCTGCTCCGAACTACTAAAGCAGCCGGCCAAATTGAAAAGCTCTTGTGTTAGTCGGCCACGTGCCTTCGACGCGTCTGGGTACAAGAGAGAATGAGCCGTACTTATCTGGCTGAAAGTTAATTCAAATCAGTTCGTACTCGCGGTCCGGTTCGCTCGATCTCGATCATCACCGCATCAACCGAGACCATCGAACTTGCTTTTGCCCTCGACCTTCTGAATCCCTGGACCTTTCAGCTGGTGACTTGAGTAGTTACGAAGCTATACTGACACCTTCAAGAGTAATGCATCGCGCAAAAATGAAAGGGTTCAACTGCACCTGCAATAGTATCACGACCACAAGAGTGCAGGCGCGGACTAGTACGGCAGTCTCACCAGACTGCAAAAGGCGAGTTCTTGCTTCTGCTATAGAAAATTAGTGTTCAGGAGCGCTTATACGTCAGCTGAACGGTGTGCATATGTTAGATAAACGAGTGGAAGTCCCCTTGAAAGCGGCGAACAACGTAGACTTCCCATAGGATCTACCCTCCTGATACAAACATTTGCGGCAGTCGAATTTGTCACTTCATGCATCACCCCAACCTCAGCCAGCTGGTTTAAACATTCTACTGTGCTTCTTTTACCCTATTACGCCTCCTGCTCGGATATCTGGATATATGTAAGTTTCCCGTGGTTATTGATTTATCACCTATGAGCTGGGCACGCTCCTAGCCCTTCTTTCGGTCTACTTCAACTTCGAATTATCTCATGTTGTACTGCGGCTAGGACGGATCTCCACTCAAGCAGAAATGCCGAATTCACTCTGGAGATGGGCTTCTCCAGTGAATGCAAGCTGGGCGCGGCGGCTGCTCGAAGTAATGACCGACATAATAGCGCAGTGTTTCCTCATCAATGTGTGGCGAATCTAGAACGCATATGCGCAAGCATCAAGCATCCACGTCACCGCCCTCCATGTTTCTCACAAGAGACTTCGCCTGCCAACGTGAATGCGAACGCAAATACGGAAGACAACAGTGGTCTTCTCGAGCGAAGCGGCCCGACGCACGCGAAGCGTCCCCCGGCGTCCAGCTGGATAGACCTCTTGTATCTCTTACGGTTCTATAGATGTGTTAGAGCATATGCGCTGTGTTGCTGTCGCGATTCTCGTCGTTGCTTCTCTCGTGAAAGTAAGCCAGGTCCACTTGATGCTCAAATATTCTCCTCGAGGACCGAGCGAATGAGATTATCTGGATCCATTAGCGCTGCTCATTGGTACCTGACCAATGCGCTGACGAGGATTGTGTCCCATTGTACCGATCTCGAACAATCAGCGAGTATCTCAACAACGTAGTTTCTAGACGGCCAACACAATAGGGTGAGATCTGACACTACAGAGTATGGATAAGAGATCAAGCTTACCGTTTCCACAAATCTAGAGTCTGGACCTTATGAAACGTGTTTTAGTCTTCACAGCAATAATGCAGGAGACAGGCGAAGAATGCTCCTGATTACTGTCAGAGCTGTCTGCGAGGAACCCATAACAGGGCGGCACACAAATGCCTTCATTCTGGTATTCCACACGTAATTTGGATATCTCCCCGCGAAATGTTTGTCTAATCCAGATTCCTGCGGTCGATCTTCATACATCCATTTTTGTCGATGCAACCTGGATGTATGTATGTTTCGCATACCCCTTCATCCCAGGTAGGTATCGGCAATAGCTCAGATCACATCTGATTCAAAGACGATGGAACAGAGTCGATGATCCACATTTATCTAGGTGGCAGTGAAACCAAGGGCCGATAAGCTCCCATTTCGTACAGAATGTGAGATTTTACATATATCCTAATTGCATGTTTGTTCATTTCTTTGTCGGCTTTCATCCACTTGGTCGCATACCCAAGTGTTAGGGGCCACGCAGGATTCTATTTTGCCAATTCTACAGGATTATAGTTTACCAGAGTGGGCTTTAAGACCAGTGCGTCACCAGCTTGATATACATCTCGCGGTGGATCTGTTTGTGCAAGGTGTGCACTGGATTACGCTGGGCACACCAATCATCAACTATTATATGGTCTCTAGGTTTGCATGTTCGTTGGGTATGACAGACAGACCTGACTCTATGTTCTCTGCTGTCATGCGCTGCGTTTCAGTGAGAATGGTTTCACAGAGGTGGTAGAGAGTAGCATATTGCATGTATGTAGTGGATAGCCTGAGTGCTCAATGCTGTCATCTACCGCCATCATTGCGCCGTGTGTCGGGCGGAGCTCTCGCATACCGGCGTTGACGCAGCGCCATTCGCGTCTTTGCCACTGCTGTCGACCATTCTAAGTGCGCTCTCACTCTGGAAGCGATGGCGTCTGTTGAAAGTGTCCCAGCGTACATGCTGCCGGGAGTTCCTGTGGTGCAGCCTTCACATCTCGAGGGCGACCCTAGCCTGGCCACAGAGATTCTCCCCGGGCCACCCTCGTTACTCTCCATCCAGCAGGCTGGTCTTCCGAGACGAGACCATAGGAAAACTGTGTCCATATTTTCATATCTGCCGACGTCTGATCCAGGGACCACATATACAGGGCATATGGTGAGCCCGATGGCCGCAACAACTGACGTTGATGGCCCTCGCAGGAAACGGGCAAGATTGGACAAAGGGTGAGTCTTATTATTGATCCTTACAATTGGCCAAGGGCTGACGAAGTTTCCTCGCCTGCCAATCGTACGTATCCCTCCTGACTACGCCGACAACCTCTCGACACACTATCCTCGCGCGGATACTCTCCCTCAAATAGGTCAGCCACCAGTAGGGCACAACGTGCATCTGCTCGCAACCTCAACGTCTCTACTTCCGTTGTCGATTCTTCCGCAATCCTGGAAGCGATGGCCTCATCTTCAAACCTAATCCCTGATTCTGATCCAATAGCCATCGACACAGATGAGCCTGTACTATCCCGGTCGAATTCACTTCCTAATGTCGAAGAGGTCGTATCGATAAATGGAAATTCACGAAGGGGTACTACACGGCGGGATAAGGGGAAGGGAAGGGATAAAGATGCGGGAGTCAGAGTTAAGGAGGAACCATCTGTGGTAACGCTGCCACCGGGCGACCCAGCTCCTCTCGTGAGTAAAATGTTGTGGCTAATGACTGAGAGGCTCATCAGATACCTCGATGCAGGCAAACGAAGACCATTGCTCTTCCTGCCGTTCGTTGGGGTCTTTGATCTATTGCGACGGGTGTCCAAGAGCATTTCATCTGTGGTGCTTAAATCCTCCCATGGAACAGACTGATTTACCGGAAGGAGAGACGAGATGGTTTTGCCATGCATGTGCAGTTCAACGGGTTCGTTCCATACATTTCCGTTCTATGCCAGCTCATTCCACGATTTTTCAGAAACCTCCGGCAAGACCGCCCGCTTCTCTGAAGTTCCTAATCCCTCTTATTGAACATTTGCAAACAACTCTGCCTATTGAATTTCAGCTACCCCAAGATATCAGAAGTCACTTTAAAGACGGTGAGGCACCTTGAAGATGCCTAGAGCAATTTTGATTTACGAATCCATCAGTTGCAACTGGTCCCAAAGGAACATACGTCGATAGCTCTGAACTCAAACCGCCGCGTCTCAAGTATGTAGCCGTTTGCTTCATGCAGGTAGTGCACATTGATCCCAATCACCTCGTCAGTCGTCATGGGCAGCTCGAGGAGCGTGATCCATATCGACTGAAAGACAGGAATGGAGAGCCAGTTCTATGTTTTCAGTGTGGGACCTCGGCTCTTCCCCCCGGTGTCGCCGCATCTGCGCACGCTGCAAAGCGTGCGAGAAGGGAAAGTAGTCAAGTTCACTACTCGGAAAGTGGACGGAGTATCATCTCATGCGATTACTGCCACTTGCACTGGCATTTGGATTGCGTGGATCCTCCCTTGTCTGTGATGCCGTCGTGGAATAAGAAATGGATGTGTCCTAATCATGCCGACAGGGTACTGGTAGGCACCCATTATCCATGTTGGCAGCTTGGTAGGGCTAATTCTATCGCCTGTAGCAACCCAAGCGCCGCATACCCAAAAATAGTTCAGTGCCTCTAGAGATCACCCAGCCTCATCAACCGAACAATGGTAACGTTGAAGTTATTCAACCGCAAACAGCCGTGGCCACGCCGAGTAAAGTTGTGGTAGACGAAGTCCTTATTAATGGCCGACGGTATAGGATTCCAGAGAGGATCATAACGCTGGACTTTTGGGATAAAGTGGGCAAGAATCGTCATATCACTGAGTGAGTTTCACCAGTGATCGCATCCGTACAATGACTCATTGAAGCAACAGCACTTCGAGTGATCAAAGTGTGCTGTCCTCCCCTTTGACTTCCCTAAGTTCGCTGGCCGGAGACGCTGATACTCCTGTTTTAAATCGCTCCATTCCATTGTTTTCCTTGGAAGATATTGAGATGGCTCAGGTAATCTGCCTACTCACATACTACCTTCGGGACGCTTATTTCTCATTTGTGTAGTTATTGGCAAGGCTTCAGATGCTACAAAAGCCATCCATGGTGCTCCAAGATCCAGCAGGGCTTAGTCATGATCTGAATAGTGGTGACAAGAGGGTTGTAGGAAGAGTGACCGACCAACAGAGCAATGCCAATGTTCCCGCCTTCACTTCAGAACTAAAGGCTCCCGTCCATCTGAATGGGACTGCGAAGGTAAATGCTTCACATGCGTCTGAAAGACGTGCTATTGGCTGATATTTGTCATTCTCAGTCAGCTACAAAGTTAGCTTCACATCCAGCAGCACTCAATGGCAAACCAACCTCATCGGCTCCTAAAGCAGAATCTTCGAGAATTAGGCGGACAACTACCCAGCGTCAGCGGAACGGGGCACGATCGTCCAGAAAACAAACCAGTGCCGACGACACCGACTATGTGCCCATCACAGTTGATATGGCGCATACATCATCAACCAGGGGCCGTAGAACTGATCAGCACAAAAGCAATTTGGGGAAAGGTACATTGGTTGAACAATCAGTGATAGAGACGTCTTCTCAAACGAACGGCTCCTCAGAGGCTGTTGCGTTGGATCAGCTCCAGCGACCACAGATTTCTGACAAGGGCCAACCAGAACAGCTCCAGTCTACTTCTATTGTTCCCACGAGACCCAAACGCCAACGACAGCCTGCTCGTAAAAGGCTATCTCCAATTCCACTCTCGTTCGGTGCCACGAATGTCTTGCGAAACAGTGATGCCACAGCTGACGATCGCTTGGATGGGTCCGAAGAGCCAGAAACTCCTCTATCTGCGTTGAGACCGAAAATTTCTACCATGTCCAGGGTCCGCAAGAAACCTGTTGGCTCATCGGCTTCTCAGGTCAAGCGGAGGTCACCAAGTCCGCCTCCCGCTGGCTCAAGGGCGCTTGCAACCACCGGAAATGCCACGCCTGGGCCTTCTGGAACGAAGGCCACTGAGTCGACTCCTACCCTCAAGATCCGTCTGCCACGTCTCGGGAGCATTAACCTTCCATCCATGTCCGCACCACCCGTCACACCATCACCGGCCACCCAGACTAAAGTACTCTCTGCGCGCGGCTCCCGAAGAAGCAATAGAGCGAATAGTCGTCGGTCTAGTCGAAGGCAGCCATCGATGTCTACATCTCTTAATGAGACGTCTGTCTCCAGCGAGGCCGTTTAAGTGGTAAAATACATCTACTAGCTGGGTTGGTTTGATGCATTACTTTCCTGTGACATCAGGGCCATATCCTTTAAGTTTTTTCTGTTATAGTTATGATCGTCGCATAACATCGCATCCGAATCCGCACAATTTATGTAGTTGTCTGTAATCCTGCAGTCGGTCTTTCCTTATTGTTGATCTTGCCACCTGAGTATGCGGTCTGTACGAGTCTGTACAGATATCAATATAGCACGACTGGCCGCATGTGTCTATATACAAAAACTCCGATCGCGCGAGCTGCGTGCGACCCTCTTAATTTGGCCGTCGGCGTATGTCACAGCAGATTTGGCGACAGGTCATATATCGTCAATTCTTATTACCCATCTCCTCAAGCATCTGGTTATTGACATTGAGATTCAGTGGCAGCGATAGCGATGTCCAAAAGCTACTCTCAGGATATACCTGTCTGGCCTCGGGGTTGTTCGCAGAGTAACAGGTTTGGCGGAATATCTGACCGACCGTTCGCCCCATGTTCAATCGAACTACCCGGATATGACCTGTGGTTGACTTTTGTCAGTACTGACATCGTATATATTCCACTTCGATGACGCAAGTAAAATGTCGCGCAGATTTTCCTAGAGCTTTATCCTACTTGTGACCAGCTGGATTGTGATTCATCGCTGATCAGTGACAAATCCTGGCACAGATAAAAAATGTCCACGTCATACCCTGCTCTCTGAACGTCGAAAACTTCATCAAAGCCTTGTCGGCGACTTTGGATTTGTTCCCCCATGCGTGCGGGCGGATACAGAGAGAAGAAAATGCCTGGTCTGTGCGTGCGCCCCCACCTCTGCAGGTTTTAGCGACTCGAACTTGAACTTATCGCGGCTGACCTTGGGTCTGGTGTACAGATGACTTACACGTCGTTGTCCGTGCCCCTGCGAGTTGAGCGTATCTCAGCGACTTCCCTGCCGCTAGCACGGGATTCATGGATCATACAAAATAACTTGACGGAGTATTTGTACCCATCTGTCACTGGTAGCCAGTCCAATCCCCTCAACAGCGATTTTACGCTTCTTCGGGTCAAATTAACCATAGCAGCCCAAGAAACTGCTATTGGTGTATCTTGGCATCATACACTTGGTAGGTCCCGCCAATCTGATTCATGAGGGGGGATTTGACGCGGGCTTGATAGGAGATGCAGAAGTTATGCTATGCTTCATGCGTTGTCTATCCCATTCTTACCAAGGAACTCCATTCTCATGTCCCACACCTACGTTGCAAAAGTACCAGTTTCCTGTACCGTCTCCAAATACGCTCAAGGAATATTTGCCCATGATGCAACATCTCCACGAAATGTACCCAACATCAGAAGTTGGAAAATTCTACGCGACAATGAACAAGCCAGTCGCTCAGGTACAGCTTAGGTTATCAGAGGAGAAGCTGCGTCAATTTCGTGACAGAGTGATGAAAACACTTCGAGACACGGATATAAGCTTGTCCATCCAGGATTGCTTGACTGCATACATTGCAACGGTCATCTCTAGGGCCTCAAACGAACAGATCCACGTCATAACGAACGCTGCTAGCGTGAGTAATAACTTGCAACTATATCGCATAGCGCTCATATGAGCACAGTATCGGAACGCAGCTGCTCCGCTTATCGATCCTAGTGTAGCAGGAAATTCAATCTATATCGTGAGGCACTCTTTCACAAGTATATGTGCCGCGAAAACAGGTTCCGATGTTGGCATATTCTCCTTTCTGACAGATACCTACCGTCCTGAGGAACAATGAACGCAGTCTGGTCGAGATAGCTGCGGCAACAAGACGTGCAATCAACGACAGCAGAAAAATCGGTTTTATTACCTCTTATATGTCCGTCGCCAGCCATCAAATGCTACATGCTGCAAACACGGGGCGCACATTTGTTTTCGCCTCTTCTCCCGATAGAATGACTGTCAACTCTAACTTATCGTATGTAACATTATCATAATGCGTATGTAACTATCCGACTCAGCTTTCTAGATTGGATTGGCAGTCTGCACACTTCGGGTTCCCGAACCGAGGGCATTTTCACACCATGGGATATAATGATCGCTATCTCAGGGTGTTCCATTCTAACCCTTTGGCAGAGGACTCGCCTAATGGCCAAGATCACCTGAAGGCCGTGGATGCATCGTTTGGGATATCCGTTGGAGCAAAGCAGCGAGTAATGGACATCCTCGAAGAAGAGATCCTGTCCTGTGATTTTCCTGAAAACATACCGATATAATATATAATTTGATGTGATCTCCTGTCCGCGAACAAGCTCAGACTCTTTGCAGTCTGCCGCGGTTTTACGAGGTATGAGGATCTCTGACATCATCCACCGCAGTGCAATGTGGTGCGAAGGGACTCGAGAGATTCAAGGTGATCCGGAAAAGATCGAACGACCGCGCTGTTATTCGCCGCGCGCTTACTTACACTTACACTTGCGTATCCAGCGCTATGGCCGGACGGCCCTCCTTACAAGTAGATTCTCGAGCTCAGTCGACAGCTTGGCTCGCGTGCGCAGACGAATGGCCGAGTTAAATACTCAAGCTACTTCCTCATGACATTTCGGACTCCGGAGCAGACTTAGTAGAAGCGTGTGACGCATGGTCGATCTGGATAGCTCATCGGTTTTGGATTTTCCGTCCAATGTCGTGTGCTCTTGCGCGCTCTATGCCGACCTGGCTATCTATAAACAGATTGCTCTCGATAAATGTCAGACTCTATTCCACTCTCAGCTAGCTCTCGTCTTGCAGACGTATTACAGGGCCATTCTAACGGCGGTCCTTACTGTCCATTGGACCATATTGCTTTTAGCCCCTGGCCCACTGTTCTGTAGAGCTCCTCCGTGATTTTCACTCACATCGATGCCGCTTTATCTCTGTGTCGACTGTGGGGGGTCCAAGACCTCTGTCGTATTAACTGATCGCACGGGGAACCCGGTTGCTCGTGCCCTAGGCGGGCCCTCCAACTTCGCCTACCTTGGGCTCGCCCCATTCATTGCTGTTGTTCAAGAATCCGTTGAGAAAGCCCTACGCGCCTGTGACCCGGACATCCTTGATGCAGAGCTGCACAAAGATGGTGTGTCTTCCCGGTTTGCTCTATCCGGGCAACTTGTCGTCGACATGTATTGAACAGGCGCCGCTCCGACAGGTCGTGCTTTGACCCTTCCTCCTCCAGAGAACCATCCCTTTTTCGCTGCAGCTTGGCTGGGTGTCTCGGGGTGTGACTCTCCAGCAGCCATCGCAACTCTCACTCCTCCTCTCGAGAAGCTGCTCGGGATTCGTCCCCGAGTAGCGAATGACACGCACCTACTTGCAGCTCCAATGAAACTCTACCCAGAAGTCAATGGTGCTATTGCAGCTGTCGCGGGGACAGGAGGAATCGTGGTCAGCTTTGGGGATGCGGTAAAGTCGGCTTCCGGTGGTGACGTTGTTGGTCTGGAGGAATTAGGTCGCGTCGGCGGATGGGGCTGGATTTTGGGAGATGAGGGTGGTGGGTTCCATGTGGGACGAGAAGCAATCCGCCAGGTCCTCGAACAGGCCGATCGTGCGAGCGTGAAGAAGAAGCCCGAGGTGAGTTGTACGCTTATTCTGATCAATCTATTGGTTCACTATCTACATGATATCAAGGTTAATGAAGCGGGGGACGTCACCAAGATCTGGGGACTGAAGGAGCGGCTTTTGCATCGCTTCCAAGTAACAGACGTCTTCGAGCTGCTCACTGTTGTGCACCTGCCCGACCCTGCGCATGGGTCATCTTTGGATACTACGCCCAACGTCGGACCAGATTATGTCCTGATGCCTCGCGAGAAACGTCTCTCCTCGCTCTCGCCGCTTGTCTTCACCGCTGCCTTCGAAGATCATGATCCCCTCGCTTTGAATGTGCTGAAAACTACAAGTGGGGCTTTGGTTGATCAGATATGTATCCTGTTGAAGGGGGAGAATGAGATCACAGAAGACCGTACGATCCGTGCATCAGATAGTATATTGTGTTTGGGTGGATCACTGTCGGGGTTGGACACTTACCGAGGCCTACTACTCGACGAGCTCAAGAGAAGGGGTCATGTTTTCTGCCGCGTGGAAGTCATCGACGACGCTGCTGCTGTGGGTGCAAAGGCGTTAGCAGTTTCCACTGGTCCCTAAAGTATGTGTATAAGGAAGAGGAAGAATATTCTGGACATTTTTGCATATTTATGCAGGAAATTATACTGTATAGTACCCTGGGATCTGCTGGAGGGCGGTTTGTATCGGCGCCTCTCAGTAGTACTAATTGTACGCATGAACGGGATGTAGTCAAATGGGTACCTTCTCAGTGGTACTACAGCACGTGGCAGCGTTGAATGTCCCAAATCGGAATCACAGTCTCGACTCAAACTTGCCAGGATCTGAGTAAAGACTGCCACGATCAGTCAAGAATACTCCGAATCAGGCTGCGTGAACGCATCCAACAGGATTTGCCTAAATTAATGGCATCCCTTCATGCCCTCGTACTGGAGTGGCTCCGACTCGACAGAGTAAATATTTTCTACAACCTCTCGTACATCGCCTAAGATAAAAGCTGATATCGCCCCTAGAATGAGACTACGCGCAGCGAAATCGAGAAATTATACGCAGCTGGCGAGAGGGAAGAACTGGAAAGACGCATGAGGTTGTACAACATGGACCAGGTATACGAAAAACCAAGGAATTACTCAATCATATATCGTTTAGGACACGCATAGAATTCGGAACGGCAGGTACTGTCCCACCCAACGCTTCTCCTGACAAGGATTTACCTATGTGACAAATATGCTAGGCCTTAGAGGTCGCATGGAGGCGGGATGGTCTCGCATGAACGACCTGATTATTATTCAGGCTTCACAAGTAGGTTCAGTCTTCCCTAAGTGCTAGTAACGTTCGGTGCAGTGATGGCTGACATGTTGATGTAGGGCCTGTGCGCGTACGTATTACAGGCCGTCCCGAATGCCGCCGAACGTGGGGTTGTAGTGGGGCATGATCATCGACACAACTCTGAGAGATGGGCTGGATTGACTGCCGCTGCTTTTATAGCCCACGATGTCAAGGTTTATCTTCATCGTGGTCTAGTGCACACACCTCTGTAAGTGTCATGAGCTTTTCAGAGGATATTTTTAATTCTGATTATGCGCTTCAGCGTACCCTTCAGCGTGAAAAAGCTGAATGCAGCTTGTGGGATAATGATCACCGGCAAGTTCCACGGTCTTAATGGCTCCTTGAATTTATCTTATTCGAATATCCAGCAAGCCACAATCCTAAGGTATGTTGCATGTTGTATGAGTGCATTTTAATGATATATTATATTATGTCTTGCAGTATGATAATGGCTACAAAGTGAGCGGCTACATTCATTGATAGCGATATTGTACTCGGTCGGTTCATAGCCCCCCATTACAGGTCTACTGGGAAAATGCCGTTCAGGTTCGCTATTGGTATCTCGATATGATCGTGAATCTTGCTGAGTATCTTCAAGATCATTGAGCCGCACGATAAAGGTATCTCGAATTCGATCAAGGCTAACTTAGAGCCGAAGGTCTGGGATCACAGTGGCGTACAGTCCTCTGCCTTGTGCATTGATGTTACGAACGAAATGGTGGAGGCATACTTCGAGAGCGTTTCAGCTCTGACTTCACACAGGTATGTCCGCGGTATCAGTCATATCCTTGATACTCGTGTCATTATGGGAAAGCAGGACTGTGAACCCACAGACGCCATTGAAATTCGTGAACACTTCCATGCATGGCGTGAGTCACCCCTTCATGGTCAGGGCGTTCGATGCCTTCGGGTTTCCTGCATTTATTCCTGTGCTCGAGCAACAAGAACCCGATCCAGAATTCACAACGGTGAAATTTCCAAATCCTGAGGAGAAAGGTGTTTATCATCGCCTTAATGAAGCGAGTAGACATTCATTATTTTGCTCAAATTTGCGGCGTCTTTCACAGGGGCACTGGTGAGACTATCGCTTCCTATTCGCAGAAATCATCCCATAGTCATACTAGGACCTTGCTATCAATACGGCCAATCAACACCAAGCAAACTATGTTCTCGCCCAAGATCCTGATTCCGATCGGTTTTCAGCCGCCGAACGGAGGTACTTTCATTTGAATCGAGTGTACGCCTCATGCTCATACTCTAGACCAGTCCGGACGGCATGTGGACTATGTTCACTGGTGATCAGCTAGGAATATTGTTTGGAAGTTTGATGCTTGACCGGTACAAACTCTCCGGAAAACCATTGAGTGGGTAGATGTGTTCGAATACTAAAACATTGATGTGACTGGAACCCCAGACGAGTTGGCCATGGTGGCGTCAACCGTAAGTTCCAAGATGATTGAGGCTATGGCACATGCGGAAGGCTTCAGATTTGCGGAATGTCTCACAGGTAGGTTCGTGTATTCGATGACATTCAGACGGATGCGACGTGTTACCGCAGGGTTCAAATTTATCGGTAATACGGCTTTGAGACTTGAAGAGGAAGGTTTCGAAGTTCCTTTCGGATACGAAGAGGCTCTTGGATTCATGTTCGGGTCGGAAATTAGGGACAAAGATGGTGTCGCTGCCAGTGTGAGTGCGTTGCCTGACCCTTCTCTTAATCTCTCGTTGACGCACGTGTTGTAGGTAATGTTTGTAGAGATGGTTACCTCGCTACACGCGCAGGGTAAGACTGCTAGCTCTCACCTGCAAGAATTATATACACGGTAATCACAAACACTTAAAACAGTTGGTAATACATTGAATTTGATCACCTGGTTTTAGATATGGTTATTTCCAGGTTCACATTTCAAATCCATTATGCGAATTTTAATATTACTAACGCGGACATTCTGCAGACAAGCAATAGCTATTTCATCTGTAATGATCCGCTTACCATCGACAAAATTTTTGCCAAGATACGAAACTATGATGGCACAGTATGTCTGCCGCATACACTCAACGTCATTTTGCAATCCGCTAAGCTTTCCCCAAGGCTACGTCGGTTCGCCCAAATTACCCCCGAACGATTGCCGGTCTGAATGTCACAAGTGTGTGTGATCTGACGGTGGGCTACGACAGTGCCAATCCTCCCACATACAAGCCCGCCATGCCACTCTCCTCGGGACATATGATTCAATTCAGGGCTCAGTCACCCAATGGTGAGAGCAAAATAACACTCACTGTGAGGTCTGTAGTTGCACCCCAATCTCCCATATTTAATCTGATGCATCCTCATTCATATCAGGACCAGCGGAACGGAACCCAAGGTAAATATTCTTGCTCGCTGGAAACGATACCTAACTGTCAATCAACACTAATAGATCAAGTACTATCTGGAGGGCTCGGGGAAGAATGCTATTGAAGTCGGGGTACTATTACCTCGTGTTGTGCAGGAACTGGGCGATGAATGGATGGAAGCAATTCGGAACCAGCTGGGAAGGCCATGAGCGTGCAATACGGCGAGAACCGGAGGATAACGATCGTGCGAGACATCGAAAATAAGCATCGTGTGTATTATGTATCTTGGTTAAAATCTACAACTATAGCGATTTCGATTACCCAACACTCCAGCCTCCGCAGGAGGCAAAAAAGGGAGGAGTTTGAGATGATTTACCTGTTTTTCGCTTTATGCGCCAAGCTATAGGCCACAGACGCCATTGTCACAAACGGATGCAATCTATGCTGTACATTGCACTTTGCATGTCCGATTCCGACAAGCTATCGACATTCAATGATAGACGTATTATTACAGCAACCAACAACCTCTGCCTTATGATGAGCCAGTAGCTGCTTGGGACATAGCTGCCTGACCTGCCGCAGTTGCAGCCAGTCGCGACCGTTTCCGCTCCGCCTCTGTCGCCAAAATGAGTTCGACCAAAGCCAAGCAACACATACAGAATGTGAACATACCTGCTTCCTTTTCCCGTTCGATATCTGCTACGATACCCTCGATTTGGGTCAAGTCCAAGCTCTGCCTCCATATGTAAACACGCCACCTTCAACATAAGCGAACAAGTAAAAATACCCACTGTGATCTTGCCGTAACTCTCCATAATATTGATCTCAATGTTCTTTGCCCCAGTTTGGACAACCTCTAGAAGACTTTTGATGGTGAGCTTTATCGTATCCTCTCGTGACATATCGTCTTTGTGATTCTTCTCCAAAAACTCCCGTACAGTTTTGGACGATCGACCAATAGCATTCGCCTATAATTCACAGGGCAAAAATGTATGTTGGTCAATCATCAGGAACATGAACGTGAGCAGCATGCCTTCCAAGCACTATAGATACCACCGGGCTCTGTCTGGTAGAGTCTTGGTCTGGTATCATTCGGGTCAAATCCGACGATGAGCGTAGACACGCCAAAGGGGCGCACTCCTCCCGATTGGGTGTATCTCTTCAGAAACGGTCAATGATCACCTCACAAAACAGTGGGAGGTACATACTTGTTGGACTCCCGCAATGTGCCTCGTGATGTACTCAACTGTGACAGGATCCTCTACCGTTAACCGGTGGCTCTGACATTCTATCCGAGCCTTGTCAATCAATACCCGCCCGTCAGCATTGAGACCTATCACCCATGTAAGGTAAGCCGGTAATACTGATGGTTTCCTCAGGCGTTACCCACCAGCAAAGGCAAGACATACATGGTCGTCCAGCATAACAACTTTACGGACAGTTCGGGGGTCTTGCAACTGAAGTACTGACTTCTTCTCGACGCCTAACACAACGACATCTTTGCCACGGACTCCAACCTGGTGGATGAAATTACTTTCCGTTGCCAAGCCCCTCGGAAGAGACATACTGCACATGTTCCTTTCTTCACGGCTTCCAGTGCGTATTCAACCTTGCCGACGCGTCATGGATTCAGCGGCGTGTATCTTTCATATACGATAGAGACATACCTGGAACAGGTGGCCATCGGGTGAAAAGACGGTAAGGGCTAGCAGAAGTGATTTAGCAGTTTGCAGCTCATGTCGCGGCGAAGCTTACCGCGATCGTAACTCCTGGACATATCAGCAGGGTGGACGACAAAGACAACAACGTAAAGACTTGGCCTCGAGATGGTACGCGCGTCGAGACTTGGAGAGCTTGCGTCTCCGGCTGAGCGATCACGTGCCCTTGACGCGTCGTAGGCGCCCCTTTACGTCGCATTGGACCCAAGTTGGCGGCGGGATCACGACAGACGTGTCGCACTAGTAGCACGATGTCAGATCTATCCCATTTGCACCTCCCTATATATGCCTGAACTGGATGATAGCAGGGTAGACCTGCAAGATGGTCCGATGTACGTGGCAATGTTATTTATCTACGTCGGCTATGCATGGTTACTCATCAACCCGATGTACATAGCAGATTGCACGGAATTGTTAGATGCCAATTGTGCGCAACTAATCTCACTCCTCAGTCTCCTTCCGAAAGACAGAAACATTACGACGACCATTTCGACGACCAGGCGTCCAGCACTGACTCTCCGGACTCATCTCGAGTATCGACTGTGACAGTTCATGAAGGACAAACGTCATCAATGCCATCTGTGCTTTCAGCTTCTGTGTCAAAATTAGGCTTCAAAGCCTGGTTTACTCCATACGCTGCAAACATAGGAAATGTAGAAACGCAGAATATTTTCTGGCACCCTGCACAAACTGAACCCCCTCCACCCAACTTCAGCCCTGGTGCGTTCTACACGTGCATTTTTATGAGCATTATCCGACATAGACATGCTTTAGGATTGATCCCAGTAATTAAGAGTTCATTGATGAAGTCGCACGAACGGGGCAAGACACAGCGTGCCTGGCTTTGTCAAGAGCAAGCTGTTCACATAAATAGCGAAGCGTTTGACAGAACTTGGGGCTGTGGGTGCGTTGGAAGTGGACCGTTTCGAACTATGCACTCATTTTGCTGACTTCAGCTATCGCAATTTTATGATGGCCTGTGCATCATTGATGGTGCAGACTCGGCAGCCAATGTACTTTCCAATGCTGGATCACCCCATGCACCCGGGAGTGCGGAATCTGCAGTCATTGATTGAGGAGGCGTGGAGTAAAGGTAAGATCCGCCTCATTCAGAGCTTGTGTCATGTGGTAATATATGCTCTTGAAGGGTTTGATGAAGAGGGTGCTGAACAACTCAAACGTAACCTGGTCGGTACTGGCAAGTATATCGGCACGGCAGGTAACGGTATATCTGATCGTGGGGTAACACAACATACTGATGATATCTCAGAGCTGTACGTTGCGTTTACATATCGAGGAATCCCGTACGCAACCATCCTAGTTTCTCTTCATGACGATTGACCTCAGCAGAGCACGTCTAGCAGATTTCGATCTTAATGATGGTGTGTATCCTTTTCTTCCCGGCGCTGAGTTACTCTATATAAATCGATACCATAGGCGTAGAAGTGTTACTCAATTGGGTGCTTCAACATTTCTGTATGACGGACACACCTCCCGTCATGCTGGACGAAGATTTGAGTAGTAAAGCTTCCGTCATCGTGACTGAAAAAATGCCACTCATCTTTCAGCACGATGGGCACTCGCGCACAATTGTGGGATGTGAACGATGCGCAGATGGCTCTATAAATCTCCTCATCTTCGATCCCTCTAGGTTTGTCTACAAAATCTGCGTGTGATGTCGACTTATTGCATGTCCGATAGGTATATCCCTCCTAATGTGCGGGATGCAGGGTTGAGATACCATGCGACCGACCTCTCGGGTGGCACGACTAGCAGTCAACCTGTCTCTCTGTCGAATGTGCTACATGAGGCGTTACACCCAGTGCAGACAATCAAGGCTCACAAACGCAAGGCTGATAACACTTCAACACACGAATCATCCAAGAAGCATCGTGGAGGCTCCGGAAGCATAGATGGTCTCACGAACGATGTCACCCGAAATGGCGGTTTGGGCCCTACTACTGGAAGGAATGAAGTGCAGCCAGATGCGTCTAAAGTTCTCGGGATATTCAGGCTAAATGCAAATAAACTGAAGTATGTTGTTCACTCCCTAGTCTACTGAGATCATACAGGTACTCACCTCAGCTGCAGGAGGAAACGCCAATACCAAATTCTATACTTCCCCTTAACAGACCCTTTAACGGAGATTGAGAGGCGGGCCAGGCGGCTGGTGACCTCGTTGAAGATTCACTAATATTACAGTATCAGGTGTGTAACACACACATGTACAGCCTGCCTTAGACATACTCTACTATGACACCGCCCCGCGATGGCTACTATCTGGCATAGGGACGAACTCTGCGACAGACTTGGATACGAATGTGGATTTGAGGAAGAAAATGCTATTAGGTGTTGCATGTCTTCGTCATCGGACGGTAAATAAATTATTTTCACCTGAGTTCGCCCCAGCTATGTTCGTCGGATCAATTTACATATATTACTTGTAATACTAATAATGAACTATTGTAATGAACACGTGGGTTGTGACACTGTCGCTGCTCGCCTACACGGTAGTAAGTAAGTACATGCTGACCGAGTATTGTTTTTGTTAGAACCACATTAATCCGGATGATTCTCGGTATACTTCGAGAGAGATCAAGATCCCACTGTGCGAATGCCTTCTGCAGGCATAATTTCAAGTCCAGCGATGGCGGATCGTAATGCCCGCTCCCATGCTTCTTCGACTCGATAGCCGCCTGCTTTCATGATACCCTCTCTATCACGTCTTACCGCTTCACTTGCGGGGTCCTCATAGTTATCCCTGAGGATGTACATATCCTCATACGCGTACCAATCGTCTTGGAGCGGCACGTGGGGGGCATCTGGGACAATTGTATTTTGTGCCGCGCGCGAGCGTAACAGCTTAGAGCTGCTCTGGAAGCTATTGGCTGCGGCTGTTGAGCGAGCAGACGCACGGCGTAGCGCATCGGCGCGAGACTTCGCAACTAGCCTTGTTGCGTCCTTGTCGCTGGTCTCTAGCTTGTCAATGAGTTCTTGGCGCTCCTTTTCGCGCTCCTCTCGTTCTTCCTCCTCAAGCCGCCGGAGCTCAGCTGCACGGTGCTCACGCTCCTGCCGCTCTGCATCCTCCTGCTCTTTCAGGAGACGATTATACTGTTCCTCCCGTTGGATATTGAGCTCGATGAGAGCGGCGTTCTCGCGACGATATGCAGCAATGCGAGCTTCGGTTTCAGGTATTTCTATATCATGAATAAGATTAAAGGCTAAAAGGTGTGAAATAGGTGAGGCAAGACTTGTAAGCGGGGAAGGCGTTCATTTCACTTACTGATGTCTTCGACCTCCTCCAAGTAGTCATTATACGATCGAAGGTCCGGGAAATCCTCCATCCGTTTATTGAACCTTATGAGAGTTAGGCGAATTATTTCAGAGTGTAATTGTAAGCACTGACTCTTTGGCTATACGTCGTCGCACGGCGACTTCCTTCTCCACCTCGAGGTCCTCGAACGTTTGTGGCGTAAATGCTAGTTTCCGCAGGATTTTATTGCATACAGGGCAAGGGGCGGGACCTAGAGTGAATAATCTGTCGATGCATGATTCGCACCTGTGGTGATCATGTCTGGATAAGATGACCATGTCCGTCTGGTGCGGCCGATGGACATACATTTTATGGTAACATGCGCTCACCAGTAAACGCAACTTAGGATTCAGGTATCTATCAGACTTGCAGACAGGACATTGATCTTCCATGGACTGATACACATCTACAAGTAAGGAATGAAGAGCATCGAGACAAATGGGTCATCTCACGAAGTACTCGGACACTCTTCCAGAGGCATCTTTGACACCTCCACCGAAGACAGTTGTCGATGTGCTCTGAATATGAGGAGTGTTTGTACGCGAATTTGTGTTTGAAGGGCCGCCCTTGCGAATGACTGTTCCTCGAAGCCAGCCGTTAGACTTAGACATGATGAAAGACTAAGAGCAGCCCGCGATGTTTCCCACTCTCTACTTAATTGCAATTGCCTTATTCAGATAGTCTGACACAATCACTTAGTGTAAGCATGCCCATTTCAGCGATTCGTTCGTCATCCACCGCAACGCTTGGTAAAGGCCTTTGTACGCTATTTCATCGTCACCATGCTATTACTCAGGACTCGGTACTATTGCCATCTACACTCGACCTGGCTGCCTTCAAGATACCTTCAGCCATCCTCTTTGTTTTCTCTATCATTTCAGCCGTTACCGTGCTTTTGCTCAGACCAATCCATCGAGTCGCGCCATCAAGCTCGCTTATACGCTTCATGTCGAACGGAATGAGTCCTTCACTGCCCAAGACCCAGGTAGAATGGCGTAAAGCGCTCGACGAGCTACCCTCCACTCCCAATGACATCCCGGCATTTTTTTTCGGCCATGGCTCGCCCATGCTGGCGTTCCCCGAGTCGGGTGTCCAGGAAAGCAATCCAATACTGAGCCATATGGGACCCAAAGGCCCGCTTGCGACATTCCTGAGAGATTTTGGACCTGCCCTGATGGAGAAATACAAGCCCAAGGGTATTGTTGTTTTCAGTGCTCATTGGGAGACAGTGGGGGAACGTGCCGGTATGCGTTCACGTTATTTCGAAGTTAAATTTACCATTGATATGGGTAACAGTCACTGATTATGGCGATTTAAACCCTTTACTAATGGATTATTTTGGTTTTCAACCTTCAATGTATGAATTGAAGTTTATTTCTCGAGGAGATTCAGCGTTGTCCCAGCGAGTTGTACAAATTTATAAAGAGGTATATATACTATCCTTTCGACTGCCCAGTAGCGTCTGATGAATGTCCGTTTCTGTTAGGCTGGCCATCAAGCTCGCACGACCTCCGTGAAGGAGGCACGGGGGCAAGATGGGAGAGGCTTCTCTGGACCTGGGCTTGACCATGGGGTTTTCATCCCATTTAGACTCATGTTTGGCAACGAGTTTTTGGACATACCTATTGTGCAAGTGTCAATTGACGGGTCACTAAATCCCGAAAAGAATTGGGAAATTGGTAAGGTGGTCGCTGCGCTGAGGTAGGTGTTATGATGTTCGTGCTGTGTCGAACATGAATAATGCTCGACGCACAGACAGGAAGGCATTTTGGTGTTATCGGGTGGTTTGATGATCCATAACTTGCGTGATTTGACATGCTTTTCAGAGGGAACCGCAGGGCCGGCTTTTCGTGACTTTGACAAGGCGGTTCTTGATGCCATCGCTGTAATGGACGTAGGTTGTCTAATTGCCCCTCCATGACGTTCCTGATCTAATGTTTTGTAGCCGGAGGCTAGAAAGGAAGCCTTGTACAATCTCACACGCCATGCAGGCTTCCGCGCGGCTCATCCTCGCGCGGAACATTTCGTTCCACTGTATGTCGCTGCTGGCGCTGGAGGAGAAAGAGTGAAGGTGTTATCCGCCATTTATGGCTCCCCTACTTTTGCGTTTGGTGTGTAACAAGATACGCCACTTGAATGCTGTTCATATGGATGCTAGTGTTTGGAGTTGATCCGCCGCGGGATTATCGACGCTGGTTGACAGCGCGCGCGACGTTCCAACGCGAATCTCGTCTACGCGATACACGTGACCGCATAGCTCCACGTGGCAGAAGCCCGAAGCAAATATTGAACCCCACGGTTACGAGGCGTACAACTATCTGTCTCTCGCTACTTTGCTGTACTTTACTGTCATATTCTTCCTTGCGCAGTGCGCAACTGCGTGACGATCCTTGCACGTAGCCTCCTGGCATCATCGCTCGGGCGGAGTCGTTTGCCGCTCACTTTCATCTTCCGAGAATCTGAGAGTCACAGCCCCCGCCACCCCGAATCCGTCGACTGAGTCCGCTTACACGACCGCTCACCGTCGGACTATATCACTCCGATGTATTGATTCAATTATACTGTCCTCGCCGTCCTAATCACTGTTTGAGGTGAGACTGCCTTCATGTGTGGTCTTTCCACGTCTGATAAGTTTCCTTGCAGCCGCCCATACTCCAGGCGAGCAGGCGTTGTTTGACCAATCACTTAATTCACAGTGACAATGGAACGTTCTGTATTACCTCCTTCCCGCTCTGCTTCTCTACCCATACCCCGCCCGAAGATTGGAACAGTAGCTTTGAGCTTCGTCGCTCCATCGTGCAATTCAGGCTTCGTAGGCGGCCCCATTACTCCTCCGCTATCTCCTGGAAATAGTGAAGACGGAGAACCAACAATTGTTATCGATACGGAACTTCGCTACAGTCGTGATAGTGATACCTACGCTCAAGGCAGACCAGATCGGACTGGCGGTCAATATAGTCAGGACGAGCTGGTAGAGAGATCCGAACAAGCTATGGATGTTGATCCAAGGCCGCCATCAAGCTCTCCTAGACCTCCGTTGAGGCATTTAGAAGACGAAGAGTGCCACCTTGAAAGGGGCACACTAAAGCTAACTGATTTTGAAGTGAAGGGTACTCTAGGTAAGTTTCCCCTTGGGAGCCTATTCGTTTCGCCATTCTTACGGCATTTACCACAGGGACAGGTACTTTCGGACGGGTCCTTCTTGTACGGCCGCGCAACCCATTAGCTCCCAACACACAAAACTGCTTCGCGCTGAAAATTCTTCGCAAGAGCGAGATTGTTCGGTTACGGCAGGTCGAACATGTCAACGCAGAGCGTTACATTCTGTCGCGCGTTTGCCATCCCTTCGTTGTTGATCTTTACGCGACATTCCAGGATAGCCTCAACATTTATATGCTGCTATCTTATGTTCCTGGCGGGGAGCTTTTCACGCACTTGCGCAGAGCGCGGCGCTTCACCCCAGACGTCACCCGGTTCTATCTTGCAACAATCATTCTCGCACTGAAATACCTTCATTCATTCAACATTATCTACCGAGACCTGAAGCCGGAAAATCTGCTGCTCGATTCCCGAGGCTACCTCCGCTTGACGGACTTTGGGTTCGCAAAAATCGTGGACGACCGTACTTGGACATTGTGTGGGACACCGGAATACTTGGCTCCCGAGATCATACAGTCAGACGGGCATGGAAAAGCTGCCGATTGGTGGGCTTGTGGAATTCTTTGTTATGAGATGGTAGTTGGGTATCCCCCCTTCTTCGATGAAACGGCATATGGGATATATGAAAAGATTCTCAAAGGCAAAATTCGATGGCCTTCGGAGATCGACCCATTGACAAAAGACATAATTCAGGCATTCCTGCATCCAGACCGTTCCAAGCGGCTGGGAAATCTCATCGGTGGCCCGCAAGATGTCCTGGAACATCCGTGGTTCCGTGGTGTTGATTGGGATGCATTGGAGCGGCGAGAAATTAGGGTAAGCCCTATCTCATCGGACTTCGCGTCCAGGATGAATATTGACAACATCTCTTAGGCCCCTATAATTCCTCATGTTACCTCACTGGATGATACTCGCCACTTCTCGCACCTGCCGCTTCCTCCGGCGGCAGAGATTCCTGGGTTAATCAAAGAGGAGGAGCCGCCTGCTCTTCAGCAACGGTTCGACCCTACTGCATATCAATTCATGGAATTCTAATTGGAAAACCTCCACTCCGGTTTTAGTCTTGGACGATTAGGGGATTCTTGAAGCTACTCTTGCTGCTGAATGCCCAGCGCATTGTTGCTTGGGGAATCATCTGATCGACACGCAGCAGCAATGAGTACAGTCATTTCATATTTCTCTTTTGAATGCGTTGGTCTTCGTTCACGCCGTGTCTCAAACTTCGCCTTGAACATCGCCAGATAGATCGATTTGTTCCAAATATGTATCAGAATTTCTGGCTTTGTAGTCATTCGGATAAACTTAATACTCGTGGTCAAATACCCTTTAGTTGTATCTGTCGTTGTCTCTCGCCTTGTGTAGTCGTTTCTTGAATTCTCGCGGTTTGCGTAGCTATTCTTCGTTCATGTATATCTACCTGGTTTCTCTGGACCATGGACTGTGGTGCACTCAGAGTCGTCCAATGGTCCTAGATTGTATCCAAATTGACTTCTCTTGTGTGCTCTGTATTTATTGACACTTTGTGCTGTTGTTTTCATGTCACTGAGGCAGTTTGCAAACTTTCTGCTGGATCAGAATGACGCCACAGTAGCCAAATACGCGCAAACTCGTAAGTACATCTTGATTAGGAAGTCGGAAGAAATTCTGCTTCTAGAGGTACAGTAATGGCTCGCAAACGAAAGAATCGCACACATCTCAAAGGTGGTGCAGCATCCAACCCTGGCACTGAGGAAGGGATTCCAAAAACATTCGTTGTCAAGCATGGCCAAGTTGGTTCCTCTCTTACCCAGCTTGTTAGGGACGTCCGCAAAGTTATGGAACCGAACACAGCTAGTCGGCTGAGGGTCAGCATTTTTGTTACTTTATATGATGAACCTCGTTCACTGACTTGTGCTGCAAGTAAGGAGCGGGCACGGAATAAGCTGAAGGATTTCTTCACTATGGCGCCCGCACTTGGGGTTACGCACCTACTGGCATTTACGCTGACAGACGTTGCGCCGTCTCTACGCCTAGTGCGTTTATCCGCAGGGCCGACTCTAAGTTTTCGCATTGAGAGGTACAGCTTAGTGAAAGATATCTTGTCCTCTTCTCGAAGAGCACGAAGTATCGGAAGTGTAGAGTATCTCAGCCCGCCCTTGGTGAGTTCGCAGTGCTGTAACGAACGCAATTTGCTAAAAGTAGAGTCCGGTTTAGCTTGTCCTTGCTTCCTTCCCTCAGCCATCACCAACTACACCACCACAGCTTCCACTTCTCATGAAAGCCTTTCAAACGCTGTTTCCCCCACTCTCTCCTCAGACGCTTTCGCTCTCGTCTGCACGCCGCGTGGTGCTTATCGCCTACAACAAAGATAGAGAGACTGTAGATTTTCGACATTACCTCATCACTGTGAAGCCATACGGCATATCCAAGCGTGTGCGGCGCGTTCTGGAGGGCGCATCTGCAAAAATGACTTCATCCAACACGTACCTCGATCTTGGTAACGAAAAAGACGTGGCTGACTTTTTCCTGCGTCGAAAGGGTGAACCGGGCCCTGATGGTAGTGATGGATATGAGTCTGCAGCATCATCCACATCCAGTGTCGCGGGCGATGATGCAGATACAGTGTCATTGGCAGACGACTACGTAGGGAGGAATAACAAGAAGGGCCAGAAGCGGGCTGTGAGATTGGATGAAATTGGGCCCAGGATGGAGCTCAGACTAATCAAAATTACGGAGGGGTTACCCGGCAAAGATGGGGGTGTAATCTTCCACGAATTTGGTATGCGGTGTTGATCATCTCTGATGTATATGACATGTGTCTAATGTCCTGTATACAGTCAAAAAGACGAAGGCGGAAGTCACGGCCCAAAAAGCCGAGCACGCTGCAAAAGAAAAACTGAGGAAACAGCGTAAAGAAGACCAAGAGCGCAATGTTCAGCGCAAGAAACAGCTGGCTGGGATGGGTGATTCGCATAGTGACTCGAAAAACGAAGATGGCGACGCTAACAGACCAGATGATGAGGAGTATGAGGACGAGGGCGTATGGGACGATGAAGAGTATGGCGATGACGAAAGTGACGACGATGAAGGAGCTAGTGATGGGGGAGAGAGCAGTGGCGAGGAGGTGAGACCGCCTCCGAAAAAAAGTAGAGTACGGGGAAAGCGATAGTTCATTCCGGTAGAGTGCTCACTTTCACCGCGGCTTGTATTTTTTTCGTCTATGACATTAGTCTTATGTACTGTAGGATATCAAAACCTGATGGGCCGAGCTAAGTCCTCACTGCGTGTGCTCTGGGCTGTTCCATGGCTTTCCAACCCATCGCTCCCACAACCGTTGTGCGCGCATCTTTACTCCATCCCAATTATCCAAGGCAGGACGAGCATCTAGATAAAAGGAGAGATTGTTCGCCGGAGAACCCGCACTATGACCAGTGTAAAAGTCGATAACATAACGAACGCGTATGCCACAGCGGTCAACGACCCAATCGTGGCGGTCGAATGGGGGCGAATATCTGCACGTCAAAGCCTCATGAAACGTTATGGACAAGAAGGGAAATAAGGGGGCGTACCCAAGTAGCGTCCGCCACCGCGCTTTTGGAGTCAATTCCTTTGGTCGTCCTTTAAAGCTCACAAGCTTAACACCACCACACTTGTCACCTCCTTGTCCGACCTCCCATTTCATAACTTCTGCCCAAGCACGCTCGTTAACGGCATTGTGAATCGGGACAATCACTTTCATGTCTGATGACTGGGGGTTGTGGTTTTTGCGTGCCATAGCAGCGTAGAACTGCGCCTGAGAGGGGTACACCCAATTACTTCCATCGAGCTTAGGGATCGAGGATATTTCGCGGTCCTGCGCGAGATGGTGCGAAGAGTCGGAGGCATTTGGAGGAACAGCTGTACTTGGGCCCAGGAGATTTGCCCATGTTGAGCGGGGCTTGTGGTCTACCGGACACGCAGCGCCAGATTGAGAGAGAGAGGCATGGTCGACTGGACACTTCTCTGAGCTGGTCGACATTGCACACGGCAAGCTTCAGAGGCGCGCGCTCGCCGGGGTCCACTGTGCGGTCTTCAAGAGCCGCTGGCCGACCCTCGCCCGACCCGTCCGGTTTCAAGCGACATCCCTCTCTTTAGGCGTCAACATTGTATTCCTGGATTTGTTTCCACAGCTAGCTATACAACATCTCCAAGTCAAGCGGTTCAACTAATTTCAATGTAAGCGTAGTCACTGACGCCGACCTGCGGATCGTATAAAACGTTGGACACAAGCCTGAGCCTACATAAAGTCCACGCAGCTTGTTTCAAGCTTGTTTCCTCTGTTCGAGCCGGCACTCGATAACGATGTGCCAGTGAGAGGGAACTTGAAGTCCAACTGCGACATTCAAGCACATTGGCAAGCTGATAACTCCTCAGGTCAGGCCGAATCCTCACGATCTTGCCCACACTTACTGACTGGCTACGTAGGGTCAGACCCTCGCAGACAGTTGAAGAGGAAAAGGATAGAATTACTGAGACGCTATAAATACGAAAAATCATCAATGTATTCAGGTTGGCAAGGCAGAACGGCTGTGCGAGATTCTTCTTCTCCGCTCTAATCGTGAAGACGTCAGATGTGTAGAAGCGCACAATATGTGGTTTTGTCGGGCTTTGGGTTCGTTGTCATCTCATGTCGTGCTCCAGAAGCCTCATGTCACTTGCCAGTGATTGATAATGTTGAAAAGCATCTACAGTGAGATAAGAGTCGACATTAAACGTACAACCAGAGAACCACCATGCCGGAAGATCAGAGTTCTATCCGTACATTATATACGTCCATCCGCAATAATTGAAAGAACACACAAGAAGTGGTCACCGATCTCACACACTATTTCGAATGGATGAATGCATCTGTCGGATGGTCCATCATGTAGCGATACAACGGTCGCCAATCGTTACACCTGTGCAGCATGCCCACACCACTGGCGCCGTGGAGGGTGTCGGTGTCGATTTCGTCGACTTCGAGGGTGGCGTCAGCCCTGCAGAGGGTGGACTGAACGAGATAGCGGAGACAGTGCTGGATGTGGTGCTCCATACTGCTACCGGTGACGAAGCCGACGCGTATGATGTCGAGACAATGCAGTTGGTGGATCATGCTAATCTGGAAAGTGCGATTTGCGGGGCCAACCTTGGAGAAGCCGTCGGTGGGAAAGAGTGTGCCCCACTCGTCGTCGTCGTGCAACAACCAGTGCGGCGCGCCATCCTCATGCACGTGCGCGATAGGTGGGAGATGGACGGCGAGCTGTGCGGGGAAGTCGTCGCCGATGTAGCCTGGGGCGGGAGCGGTGAGCACTACGAACAAAAGTGCGATGACACGGATACATACTATACTCTTTTAGTGCGGGGGGGCGAATCTGGCCGAGTCGCGAGAGGGTGAGGTAAGATACTGCGAAATTAAGAGCAGTGAATACTGCGAGGATGGCAGCGCAGGCAACGGGCCACATTGTGAACACTGCTAGCTGAACTAGCTGCCTCGGGGACAGGGGGAAAAGACCATGTAATAGCGCTGAAAAGGATGCGTGGGGCTGCTGCCGGGGCTGTAAATATCAAAGAAATAGGTCATCAGCATGAGGGCGCTGTGACCTGTTTTCGACAGTCGAGTACGAGACAGACCAGGGGATACTTCATTTTATGGCGATGAACCCGGCACCACTGACCGAAGATTGGGCCAAAAAGGCAATCTGGCTGCCTTGTATGGGCGGCGCCGGGCCGAGTGGCAGAGGAGAGAAACGGAGATTTTCCGCCGCCATCGCGCAGTCCAACACCGTCCCTTCTGCTAAGTATGGCCGCCCATCCACGATGGTCCAACGGGGCTATACATATGTTGCATCATTTCACGTACTGATGCTTCTGATATGAACTCACAAAACTACCCACTGTGCCAGACTACGTCCGGCTCACATTTTTTGCCATCTTCCATTCCCACTTTAGCGGCTGTACATCTTTAAGTCTTCGGCCCCCCCCCCTCACTGACCTCGGCAGCTGCTTTGAAAATCCGTGCTCCCGAGGTGAGCTCTCGCACATGCTTCGCCTCCTGTCCACTAAGCTCATATCGAGAAAAGATTCGCCGCTACACACAAAGACCCATCATGTCGAAATATGAGCTCCTCGGTCAGGATGAGTTCACGGCTGATACTCCCGTCGCGGAGAAACCGGTCGTTCACAAAGCACCCTCACGATTTCCGCTAGCTGCTTCACCACTTACCGTCATAATTATTCTTTCCCTCATCCTCGCGGCGAACATCGCCTGTTGGGTGTACACCACGAGGGAGGTGAACACCATAGTCAGAGCGCTGCATGCGGCCCACCTTGACCTCACGGACACGCGCGAATTGCCGCGTTCCCGCTCGGAGGGAGGGTTCTGGGAGTTGTATTGAGTACGAAGACGGCTAGGAAGCCGGTTGCTGTGCATCTGCCAAAAGGATTGCATATGATGATCATATCATACTGCAGCGCGTCGCCCACATACCAATCATACTTCCTGATGACCTGTTTTTTCACATGTGGTTCACACCCTGAACTTCTAAATACTATTTTTTGAAGCAAATCTCGACGCCTAGTGTATATATAATGATCTGTATCCGCAGTGCCATCGACAATTGTTCTGCTCTGTCGACACTCGAGTCCTCTCCCAGTCTTCAGCCTCACATCTCCACAATGCGTACCACATTTGTTCTTCTAATGCTGAGCGTCCTCGTTGCCGGGTTGCCGGCTCAAAGACGCAGTGAAGGTAGGCATGAGTCGTAGCAGGCATGTTCCAGGAAGGTACTAATAGTGATGCACCTGTAGACTCTGTAGCAATTCTCAAGCGTGCGCCAGAGGTCGAACGACGAGGTCAGTAATTTCTAGAGTACTAGTAAGGTTTACCAACTGCACACACCGATGTAGAGGGGGGCTTTATTCTGTCGAACGCGGTACACCCTGTGGCTGCAGCTCACATTGCTCCGGAGAGTAGAGGTGCGCGGTTCATCCGGCTCCTTGCAGTGCACCAGCTGATACGCATCTTCATAAGACGTCGCCGCAGTTCCGCGTAAGTGGTCCATCAAACTTGTGTCTGATTGAATATTGACAGTAAGTATATACATGGCATCCGGCGCCGTTCGTTCCCATTCTGCGCACGTTGTTATAGGTGGCACCGTCTAGCAGTCTGTGTTTGACGCCCATCATGGAAGCAGTAAGTCGCTGCAATCAAAATGTATCAAGCGCGCTTACCCTTCCTTCAGTTGCAGGCAACGTCAAAATTCCGTTGAATGCAGTGCACCCCAGCATGATTTAGGTTTAATAGAGGAGGGAAGCAGATGACTTATGCCACATGTACCCTTTGCGATACACGTTTGGAAATGGCATGAGTGTTTTTATGTCCACTAGCATTAACGCTGTATGCACACTGTTTGGTTCAAGAAAGTATGATGGTTGACCGTGAAATTGAGCACAATGCGCGAATTATTTTCGGTCGCCATCGGCTGGCCAAGTGTGCCGTTATCCGGGCAGAAAGATGTCGACGTGCCATATGGTACACGTTTGTAGGAGCCCACCGCGGAACAGGATCTAGAAAGTACCGTGCCAGCGCAGCCCGCTGCATAGTACATGAGATGGAAGGGGGACAGAGACACGGCCGCGACTGATTTTGCAAGTGCCTGATGCTCATCAAGAGATGACGGACGACACATAGTGTGATGTGAGGCTGGGCGCTGACTCGGAGCGCGGATGAACTTACTCCGAGCATCGAGCAGGACAGACGTGTGGTGGGCCTCTACCCGTGAACATTCGCCATGTATGGTATTGGCAACAGTGACAATCTCTTGCAGAGAGGACGGCATGCGGCCTTCAAGCGTCGGCTAATCCTCAATTTACTCCGTATTAAGCCAGAGTGAAAGCCAACAAAGATGGCTGGATGATTGAAAAGAGATTGATTCTTTTCGTGATGAACAGAAGGATAATCTTCATCATGCAAACATAGATTGCCCAGTCGTTTGAACGATGGATGAGATGAGGGTCAGCCACAAGGAGCGCTTCGTTGGCTGATGACAACTGTTTAGGCGCTCCGATCAGGCGTCTATCCTGATTTGAACGTTGAATCTACGTACTTTACTAATCTATTCCAATTCCAGGCTTCTAATCTTCACATTTACATGCTTGGGAAAAATGCAGTGGAGCGCGGTGGATCTGGCTGATGGTGGTTGCACGCACTGGCCAAACATAGTCATGGGCTGCCCGTCGGATTGTGGAGTCACAATTTGGGCCCGGGGACAGTAGCGGAGGAAATAAATGGTACAGCTTATGATGGCAGTAAGATGGGCATACAACTCGTTATTTGAACACCAGCCTTTTGTGTGAGGGATGAATATCCCGGGGGCCAAGAACCGACTCTTTGAGGACGACTCGGAAGGCAGGCACCAGAGTGTCACCAGAGCCACCGTGTTGCCGGCATCGGCCGCCTGTGCGTTTTCTCAACGCCCGGCACAGATTCAGTATTCAATGCTATCACGACTCTCGAGTTGCAAGTGCCGCCGCCGCCTGTCGTCCACCGTTCCGTCCTGTACAGCTCATGCTGAGTATTTTCTGATTGGAAATCCCCGTACATTGCCACTCCATCATCGTACCACCTTGCCAATGTCGCTTGGAGCGACTGACGGACAGACCATGGACTTTTCAAGTCGCTCTATCAGACGACTCTAGCGCAATCAGCTCCGGCTGTTGTGCGCGATGCTGTTCACCTCAACTGATACTCATGTCCCGGTAGAATGTACTAGTACCGGATTCTAGCGTGTGTAACGACCAGGCATAAAGAGTCTTTCTGGGGCAGCGTGGTTCTCGCATACTTGTCTCGATTTACAGGAGTCAAGTATTCCCTGGTCTAATGCTCATCATGACATCTGTCTGATCCACTGGCATCTCCGATGAGTGTATCGGTGATGTATATTTCCTACCATGAGGCGTATTGACTTCTACACTGAACAAAACGTTCTTGAATGTGCCATTACTGTCTGAGGCGACACGCCCTGTCAGTTCTCGGAGGGTGTAGCGAGAGTGTCTCTTCTTTGTAAGTCAAGCCATTCTGTGGGGAGATTATGCGGCTCCGACAACATCTTTCTGACCGTCTTCTGGGCAATGAGCCCATGAGAGCGGGTCAAATTCACGAGACCAAAATAGTATTTGAAAGATGTGTGCGCGGCTCCGCATCAACAACTTGCGCGGCCGCACCGAGGTCAGATACACTATTTGTCTACAAATGGAAGCTCATTTACCTCTGCGCGTTCTACAGCGTGCCAACAGGCTGAGGTCGATGAGGGGTTCGTCAAGGCGTCAACGAAATTCTGCCCGTGGGTCTCATTCGAGCGCGGTCGCCGCGGGAAGCTTTGTCATGCCGCCCAGTTGTTGTTTGTGCAGCCGTGGGCATTATATGGCATTTCTGGTCAAATATCAGACAGATATCGTCCTCGCTAGCGCTGCCTGGGGCTATGTGACGTGGATGGGCACACATATCTGTCCCGGCTGATTTCGGTGCCTGTAGAGTCAAAGGACTGTGTATATGCCTGCAAGGCGTCGTCAATCAACAGAAAAATCGGAGCGAGGGCCGTTGTCCGATGTGTTTGTCTGTTCCTTCGTCTCTGCACAAACTTATCCGCGCCTGCATCATGGGTATGTCGTGCTCGTGCTGCGAATCGCTCACCACTAGTGTCCATGGTACCTGCTGCACAGAGACTGAGAGCTCGTCGTGATCTGTTGTTTCATACGAGTTTGTACACGCAAACAGGCGATGGTTCAGCATACTTATATTCATTTGTCTAACAGTCCGTGTCTGCGAGTCGCTGGGCTACGATGTGAAGGGGACTCGCCGTGCCATGCTGTGAGCGAGTATTTCCGGGTGACAGCGCGCAAGCCTGCGATGACACGCAATGTACCAACGTTGGGCGGCGATCCCTTCCCCGAAGCACCTCCCGCCCTTCATAAGACCTGCTGCCCCGCTCTCTCCATCTTCTCTCCTTCCCCCAACATGCTCGCCAGCACTCTCCTTGCCATCTTCGCTGCCTGCCTGTTCTCCCTCCCCGTCTCCGCTCAGAGTGGCACCGCTTCCTCCCCCCTTCCCGTCCCCACCGCCGACATTGATCCCTGCGTCCTCTCCTGCATACAGATGGCAGCCACCTCCAACGGCTGCTCCAGTTTGTCCGTGCATTCTCTCATACTACTCTTCATCCGGCCACCGAACTGACTGGCTCCGATACCACTATATCCCATCAGCATGGATATCCCCTGCGTCTGCACCTCCTCCGGCGTCCTCTCCTCCGCGAGCAGCTGTCTTCAGACCAATTGTTCCGCGCAAGCGCAAGCGGCTGCTGAGGCCCTCAGGTCCTCCCAATGCGCCGCCGGTCCGTCTTTTCTTGCACCCTCTTTCCTCCTACACTAACCCGCATGATTCTACCAGCAAACGAGACTTCTTCAGCATCCACTACAGCCACCGGCGCAATGGTCGGAACAACTGGAACAAGCCCGTCGTCTTCCGCTCCTTCTATGAAGAGCACTACGACGTCGAGCAACGCGCATGTGGTTAACGCGAATGCACATGCGATAGTAGCCGCTATTGCCGTGGTCATCGGGGCAGGGCTGGTTCTGTGAGTGAAGCTGCGAAGAATTTGACGGCGAATCGAACTTGGACTAGGACTTGAGCTATCTTCCGGCTCTGAAACGGACCGTTGCGATATGATGTAATGTCCATTTCATGCTGTATTCTTCTTTTCCTTTCACCGTGACGCTGTCTATATACCTCGCTGTAGCAGTTCACTCGATTTTTGAGGTGGGTATCATTTGTAGACCGTGTCGAGCATCAGTCCAATTCTTTGTACTATAAGCCTACCCAGCCATAGATTGTATTCGTTCGCGTCTATTACCCATTTCAGCTGTTGTCTTCAGTTGTCAATCGCATCTTGTGCGTAGAATCATTTGCAGAGTTGACAATTGTCGAACTCGTATCCGTCGCCCCTTCAAACTAGTGTTTATACATTGACTATTGACCCTCGCTATTGACGGAGTCTCGGGGCGCTCATTGACCCATTTGACTTCATACCGGTCAAAGGGGTTAATATCTCAATATCTCAATCACTGACCCTAATCCCACTGCTTAAAACAGTGCAAGTTGGTTTGATTTGATACATTACATGTACTGTATTCTGCAATTTGTGCAACTCAGATTGAACAACTTGCGTGACAGTGCTCCCGAACACGCACCCAACATAGCCAACGAACAAACTGTATATATTTTCTATTATGCTACAGCGAATATGCTACGCAATCTAAACAAAGAGTGACAGGTATGGCAGGAGCATCGTGCGGACCAATGCACCAGACCTAGCATGAGTTTCGTCATGTCATAAAAAGCAGGGCGTGTTGGACACCCCACCACTGTTGAACCAGTGTCTCGGAGAGACATCGTCACGTCGAAGCGAGAAGAAAAAAGAGCGTCTTGATCAGTCGGAGAAACACAGAGTGTGGACGAGATGCGTTGAGGCAAAACGTCGTCGTCGTCGTCGTCCGTGTACGCAGCGCACGGGGGAGAGGTGGCTCACTCGGCGCGCAGGTCATTTGCGCGCGTACCGGCTCGCCGCCCGGATCCGCTCGCCGTACTTCCAGAAGAGATATGGACTACACGGCACCAGAAAGACGACGTCAGTGTCGGCTTCGACGGCAGGGAGACGACATACGCAGGGCACCCGATCGCGATCGCGATGACGGCCAGGACGGTATCGCCCTTACCGTACCCCAGTGCGTTGAACATTGCCGGCGCGAACAGCGGGAAGCCGAATCCCGCGCAGGAGCGCAGGAATGTCACCGCGGCGAGCGCTGTGCCGCAAACGTACTGTGAGTATGGGAGCTCGTGTGTCTCACCGACGCAGACACGTACCGGACGCCGCGTACAGCGTAAAGGTGTCGATGACGTAGGTCTGGATACACTGGAAATTTAGGATCATCCCTGCGCCTACGACGACGATGCCCTACGGAGAGTAGCGTCAGCGGCGGTCAAAGGACAGTGAGGATCTAGCACTGCTCACAATGTCGGGGCCGATCCAGTGGGTGTGTGCCTCTGCCGTCCAGCCGGTGATGAACAGCCCTATCGGCAGCAGGATGGTGCCCGGGATCATGGGCGCTGTTCGAGACATGAGTACTTAGCATCCAAAAGACAAATACTTTCAGCCAAAACTACACACGCAGCCGGAATTCAGGTCTCCCCACGCCTCCGTTCCTATCACACAGATATTTGTAGATCTTGTCAATCATACGGGCGTTGATCTGCGAGACGCCACTGAGGCCGATCCCTAGGGCGATGTAGTTCAGCCCGGAGATGCCGACGTCCTCGTGGTATATCCCTTCGAAGATCCCGCCGATGGTCGTGAGATACACTACACGAGCGAGCGCGTGAGCAAAGGGGGGGGAGCGCACGAAGACGAAACGCACAGTACAGGGTGCCGTACACAAAGGCCATGTATACTCCGAACAGTTGAATGATCGGTTCGCGGAAGAAAAGCTGGAATGGGCGCAAGAGGGATTTGGCGAAGATATGCTTCCAGCTAGAAGCGATCATCGGTGTCAATCCCCCAGGCAGCCACAACGGCACTCACTGTCTGTCCGCACTATCAAAAACGGTGACAACTTTCACTGACCGGCCTTTCTCTAGATCCATACTCCTCCGGACCCTCTCCGCCTTCTGCTCAAGGAGAATCGGGGCAAACGCTAGGAGAAGCAGAGCGATCCATGAGACACACGGCTACGGAGTACCACGCAGCGCGCCGCTCACTTTCTCGCATGAACAGAAGCCCCAAACACTGAATGAACGCGTCCACAATGCTCAGCGACCAGAACTAGAACGCCCGCCAGGTCAGTCTCATCGCGCCGCCTCGCTCCGCCGACAGCACTCACGATCCAGCGCCAGGTCGACAGCTGCGCGACCCACGCGCCGCATATAGGCCCAATCACGGGCCCGAGCAGCGGGGCGAGCGAGTACACCGCGATCGCCTGGCCGCGCTCCTCTGGCCGCCAGCAGTCGCCGAGGACGCCGCCGCCGATCTGCGCCAGCGATGAGACTCCAGCTACGGTCGAGACAGGCAGAGGCGACGTACGGACAAGGCGGCGCTGCCGCCGAGGCCCGCAAGGAAGCGGAACGCGACGAGCTGGCCGGTGCTCTGTGCAAATCCGCAGCCCGTGTTGAACGCTGGATGGCGCGGCGCGGCGGTCAGCGAGGGGAGGCACAGACGAGTGCGGCGCGCGGGGACGCACCGAAAAACCAGACGTTGGAGATCTGCACGACCTTCGCGCGGCCGTAGATCTCGCTGAGCGGGCCGAGCAGGAGCGGGCCAAAGGCTGCGGGGGAGGAGCGGTCAGCGAGCGCGCGCGCGCACAGAGCGGCGGGACCAACGGACCGTACGCGAGCACAAACACGGACGTCGCGAGCGCGAGGACGACGTCGTTCGTGATGGCGAACTCGGCCGCGAGCTGATCACTCGCGGGCGAGATCATCGCGGACGCGACGGGGCTGATGAACGAGAAGGCGGAGACGACGGCGGTGGCGGCCCATTTCTTCCTGAAGGACCAGCTGCGGGCGTATCAGATCCCGCACGGCGACGGAGGGGGACATCGTGCCACAGGCCACTCACTTCTTGGGGTTTGTAGGGTCGTCGGGGCCGTCCCAGTCGACTATATGCACTTGAGGGAACCCTGGCTCGCTAGCGGGGAACTCTGCGCCACCGGTATCGGTCGCGCTGCTTTTCGGGCGCTCGGCAGCGTCAGACAGGTCCACGGATTTGCCAATGTCAACTGGGGCAGAAGGCATTTTGGCGGGGAGCTGGGGCGCGTCGCCTTGAAGGGTAGGCGTTGGGGACGGAGAGGTAGGGACCGGCGGGGGGTTGGAGGACATTAAGGTGTGTATGCTGCACGATATTCTAGCTCAGGACTACGCTGTGTGACACATGAAGGAATGACGAGACAACAGAGGCAGAAATGAAAAATGAGTATTCTAGAGGGCGGAGGGGGACATGGGAGGGGAGCGCAGGACGCGTCCGGGGCAGATGGGGACGGCGGACAGAGGACGCATGGGTTAAATGGATCCGAGAGCGGGGCAGGGTGGCGCACATGAGTCAGATGGATACGACGCGGCAGCGAGCACCGTGAAGAGCAGGGCGCGGCGAGCGAGTCGAGACCCGCGGCCGGCGGCGGGGGT